TTTCGCCATGGCCCTCAGCGATACTGATGTGCAAAAGCAGATTAAGCATATGATGGCTTTCTTTGAACAAGAAGCCAATGAAAAAGCAGAAGAAATAGACGCAAAGGCAGAAGACGGAGTCCGTCCACTACTCTACGGCTACAATATGGAAGCTTCTGATATTTAAAGAAGCAAGAGTATCTGTGTAGCTTCCTCTCTCCTGTCCTAATGTTGCTCTGTGTTTATTAGTGGGTGCCCTTCTGTGGCTGATGCCCTTGGCCTAGTTGCTAACAGTGGGAGAACATTCCACTTGTGATCAGGACCCACCTCTAGTTCATCTCAGAATAACAGCTCCCAGCTGGTCCCACAGCGCTAGGTGAGGGGGTCAGATGGTGCTGCATGAACTTCGCCAAGTCTCCTCCTCCTTCTCCAGCTCCCAGTTATCTAGTCTAGAGGGTGACATGTATGGTGTTCTCTGCCTCGACGTCTCTGCTCTTTAGGTTTAAAACTCATGTGGCACACGCATTCCTCCCAGCAGTAGTAGCTTCATTGTTACCTATTTCAGCCTAGACATTTTCCTCACCTGTAAATGTGATTTGAAACCTAAGCCATGAATATGCTTTATTTATTAAAACAAAAGATTTATGTGGAAAAAAAAGAATTAGCTGAAGGCTTTTGTCTCGTGGAAGCAGGATTTGCTAAATTGGAGCAGCAAGATCCTAACATGGAGAGGTTTACAAAGGTTTACCATGCAGTTAGTGAGAACATCAGGCACTACAAGGCCATTTATGATTAAAAAAAAAAGAAAAGAAAAAGAAAAAAGCTGTCCAAAGAAAAGAACCCTACATACTTTTTTCAAAAAACAGCTTTAGTGGTAAGCTCGACAGAATCAAATCCTGATTCTCCAGCACCCACTCCATCATCTCTAGCACCATCTCCATCATCTTCCAGTTAATGTTAGCCTACCTTCTTTGCCTCAAAAATGCCACTTCCAGTAAGCAAGACACTGATGCCACATTAGGTGTTAACCTTTAGTATTCTTTTTTGACATATCTCCTATCTTCTATCTTAACTTTTTGTATGAGTTTGTTTTTATGTTTGTTTGAATTAAAGAACAAAATAGTTTTTATAACTTATAGTACATTTAGCTTCTTTTTTCATTTATTATTATTTTGTTTACCATAGGCACTTTCTTTGCTATCCTAGTATTTTTCAAAGAAAAATTCATCCAGAGGGTTATTGTTTAAGGGGTTTATTTCCATGGACATGGAGTTAGAAAATAAAAGACCTACAAAGCTGAAAGGAAGAAACTCTTCTCAGTCAACATGATTGTCTACGTATAAATGTTTTTAAAAAAGAATCCACACAAAAGCCACTTGAGCTACTAAGTGACTTTAGCAAGCTCACAAGATTTAAGACCAATATGCAGAAAACAACTGCATTTCCATATACTAGTGAAGAACAATTGGAAATTCAAATTAAAAAAACAGTACCATTTACAATAGCACCAAAAAGCATGACATATTTAGATATAAATCTGACAAAGTATGTGCCAGATCTGCATGCTAAAAATTCAAATTAGAGAAATTAAAGACAACTCAAATTTCATGTTCCAAGACTCGATATCTATTAACAAATTGATCCATAAATTCCATCTCAATAAAAATCCCAGAATAATATATTAAAAGCCATACCTTAAATTGTGTGGTATGTGGAGGATATCTCAATAAAGCTGTTAAAAAACACACATCGGATTCAAATTGTAGATACAAGTTTTTAAAGATATTCAGTATGTATTGTCATGTAATACTTTAGCAGCACTGCACATGTCTTTTATTTTGGAGACAGAGTCTCGCTTTGTTGCCTAGGCTAGAGTGAGTGCCCTGGCGTCAGCCTAGCTCACAGCAACCTCAAACTCCTGGCTCAAGCAATCTTCTTGCCTCAGCCTCCCAAGTAGCTGGGACTACAGGCATTTGCCACCATGCCCGGCTAATTTTTTTGTATATATATTAGCTGCCCAATAATTCTTTCTTTTCTATAGTAGAGACGGGGTCAGCTCCTTGCTGCAGCTGGTTTCGAACTCCTGAGCTCGAGCAATCCGCCGCCTCGTCCTCCCAGAGTGCTAGGATTACAGCGTAGGACCTGCCCGCGCCAGCCGAAATTTATTTTGGTTGCAAAAGTTACCTTAAGTGTTTTCTTACCATAATAGTACTGGCAAACTAGCTGGTATAAATTAAAGGTATATTACTCTTTTATGTTACTCTTAAAGAATAAGGAGATGCGTTACTGTGAGGAAAGGGTTTATTCGTTTTCTTTATTCCAAACCACAGTAATCTTTAGACCCAGCCAAGTTTTTTGACCACTACAAAGTCCCTTCAGTTATCTCAAGGGTATTGGATATTAGCAAATAATACCAAAATTATTCATCAAGGTAATAAGTTGATGATTCTAGCACGTTTTGAGGGGGTTGGAGGGATGTAGCGCTCCTCTCAGGAAACCAACAGGAATAGATCGTCCTCAGAAACAACTTTCCAGGCCCACAGGGCCATTCCCTCTTGTTCTTTCCCCCTGCCACGCCTTTGCTCTATCAGTTTCTTTGGCCTACAATGCCCTTCTGGTTCTTAGTTCTGAAAGTCTGCTTTTCAAGGTACGCCTGGGCATCTGAACCCATCTTTCTCTTACCGGACTGGTTAGAGCCTTAATGTTTGAACCATCTAATTTTATTTTATTTTATTTTTACTTTTTGAGACAGAGTCTCGTTATTGCCCAGGCCTAGAGTGAGGTGCCGTGGCGTCAGCCTATCTCACAGCAACCTCAAACTCCTGGGCTCAAGCGATCCTTCTGCCTCAGCCTCCCAAGTAGCGGGTAGCTACACGCGCATGCCCGGCTAATTGTTTCGTATATATTAGTTGGCGCAATTAATTCTTCTATGTATATGTAGTAGAAGACGGGGTCTCGCTCTTGCCCAGGCTGCTTTCGTAACTCCTGACCTCGAGCACATCCGCCGCGCCTCGCTGGCAGATGCTAGGATTACAGGCGTGAGCCACTGCGCCCGGCCATGAACCATCTAATTTTACATGAACTGACACACAACCCCTCTTGTTCTGGTTTTCTAAATCTCACATTATTATTTGTATGTCGGCTACCCGGTAGTGTGCTCCGGAATTTCACAGAGATAAAATATCAGGCTGCGCACAGCCACGCAGGGAAGCCCCGCCAGGTAAACGCCAGCAGCACAGCGAGCCTTTCCGGTGCCGCGCAGAGCGCGGGGTCACGTGGCGGAGAGGACGAGCCGCGGCGGCGGCAGCTGTAGGGCGCACGCGCAGGAAGAGGAGGCTTCGTCAGGTGAGCTAGCTGACAGGGTGCGGGGGCGCGGGGTTTGGGGGACTCGAAGGGGCTGTTTCCGGAGCCAGAGTTCGGGCTCCAGTCGTCGCGATGCGTGCTGGGAGGGTAATCGGGGCCAGACCTGGCAGGTGGGAACTGGGAGTGAGGAGAATCGGGGAGGAGGTGTGCGCAGATTCATGGGAACTCCACAGGTTGTGGACAAACTTGCAAACTGCCCCCCTTTCTCATACCAGTTTAATGGCCTTTTCTGATGATGAAAACATAAGAAATAGGTTTCAGAGACCCTCTCTCTCTCTTCCCTCCAACCTTACTGTTTTGTTTTGTTTTTCCTACTATTTTTGAGTCTTAAAAGTACAGCTCATTAAATGCTATGTAGTATTCTCTTTTTGGTTCTGGAACAGAAAGAGAACGTTAGTAGAAAAACTGAGCAAATCCTAATAAAGTCTGTGGTTTAGTTAATAGCATGTACCAATGTTAATTTGTTGATTTTGATAAATGTACACAAATGTTAACATTAGTGGAATTTGGGAGTTCCTAGTACTATCTTTGCAATTTAATATAAATGTAGAATTTTTAAAATGAAAAGTTAAAAAACAAAATCCTACAGCGAAGTGAAGCGGACCATTCTTCACCAGAGAGTGCTAAAGTTAGTTCCTCTTTCTTTGCTAAGCCTGGCAGGAATTAGGTGTCTGTTTGACCAACTTGTTTGCTAAGGCAGGGTTGTCAGGCTAGTGGATGTAGATTCTTCTAGCCTAGTTTTTCCAGGCAAGAATCTGTTTTCTCTTTCATTTCTATCCATCAAGTATCTTTGGAACACCTGTTATGCATAATTATATGAGACACACTTCCTGTACTAGTGCAATAAAACCCTGGGTCTGGTAGGAAGTAAGGACTATTAAAAAGATACAAGGACTGACAAAGTGGCTCACACCTGTAGTCCTAGCACTCTGGGAGGCCAAGGTGGGAGGACTGCTTGAGGCCAGGAGTTTGAGACAAGGCTGAGCAAGATCAAGACCCGCCTCTACAAAAAATAGAAAAATTAGCTGAGCATAGTGACTCATGCCAATAGTCCCAGCTACTCTGGAGCCTGAGGCAGGAGAATAGCTTGAGCTCAGGTATTTGAGGTTGCAGTGAGCTGTGATGATGCCATTGCACTCTGACCCAGGCAACAGATCAAGAGTCTGTTTCCAAAAAAAAGAAAAAGAAAGGAAACAATTTTAGAGCTCTGAAAAAAAACAAAAAAATCTAATCTCATTTCATTTGACAATTGAAGAAAGTAATACTCAATTTCAAATGCAATAAACATTGATTTGGCTACTATAGTTGATTTCAGAATATATTAGTGGTGCCCAAAATGATGCTACAGAGTAGTTAATGCTTAAACCTGTTTTGGAGATAAACAGGCTCCAAGAAGTTAAATGACCTGCTCAGGATCCAAGAGTGGCAAGTGGTAGAGTGAAGTTTGAACCCAGAGCTCCTGAATCAGTGCCTTCTCTGTTACATATTGTGCTGCCCATGGGTTATCAACACTGAATACATGAAACTAGTTGAACAGAAGGTTAGTGACTTTATTTTTTAAAATTTTTCTTTATTTTTAAATAAAGACAGGGTCTCACTGTTGCTCAGGATGGTCTCGAACAGCTGAGCTCAAGTGATCCTCCTTCCTCAGCCTCCCAGAGTGCTAGGATTACAGGAGTGAGCCACAGCACCTGGCTGAAGGTTAGTCACTTTAAATATTTTCACTTTCTTAGAGGTACTGTGTTTTAAAAGTGAAGTTTAATTTATACTGTATTATGTTAATATTATTGTTACTATGTAAAAAGTAGGAGAGTACACAGCCACTAGTCCCTGAAGTTACATTTTAAAAAACATAGGTGCCTCGCGCAGCAGTAGGTAGCGTGTCAGTCTCATAAAAAACAGTAGAGCATTGGACCATGTGAACATTCATTATATTAAACCCTGAGTAGCAGGAAGTTGTACCCATGGTGCCCGAATATGCGATGTGTTGACAAATATTCTTAGCTAACCTTGCAATTGCTTATTCTTTCCTCTTACGGCATGTTCCCCTTGTATTGACCAATTCCATTTTTTTCTCTGCTGCCTGCCTAATCCTAACCATACATTTTTTTTTTTTTTTTTTTGAGACAGAGTCTAGCTTTTTTGCCCTGGCTAGAGTGCAGTGGTGACCACAGCATAGCTCGCTGCAGGCTCAAACTCCTGGACTCAAGAGGTCCTCATGCCTCAGCCTCCCAAGTTGCTGGGACTACAGGTGTATGCTACCATGCCCCAGTAAATTTTCTATTTTTAGTAGAGACGGGGTCTCATTCTTGTTCAGACTGGTCTCAAATTCCTGAGCTCAAGCAATCCTCCTACTTCAGCCTCCCAGACTGCTAGGATTACAGGCGTCAGTCATTGCTCACAGACTGTTTTGTTTTTTTTAATGAGCCTTGAGAAAAGGAGGAACTATTTCTTGAACTCCTGACCTCAAGCAGTCCTCCCACCCTGGCCTCCCAGAATGATGGGATTACAGGTCTGTGTGACCACATCTGGCCATGATGAAATATTTCTAAACAGTTACCCAAAGCAGCTGTTTTGAAATGCCTGATGGCAAAAACCTCTCTTAACTAAACTCTGTACTGGAGGGATGGACTGAGCATTTCAGCTGCTCTCCAGCTGCTTCACTGTCACCAGGTAGGTGACTGTGGTTGTGTCCCTATGAGGAGGGCTCAGTGATGATGAGTTCTCTGTAGGCATTTTTGCCAGGAGACATTTTCTGCTGGAAGAAGGGCAGGCAGTAACCCCATAGTATCTAGTGTGGAGCCTTGCTGGGGAGACTATTTTGTTTTTCTGCCCTAGAAGCAAGTGTAGCAGATCCCAACCTGCTCTGGATGACTTGAGGTTGAATGGGATCTTCATAGGTTCCCCATCAGTTGATTCAACCAACCACGATCAAAAATATTTGGAAAAAAAATTCCACAATGTTCCCAAAAGCAAAACTTGAATTTACTGATTGCTGGGTATTCTGCTGAATCCACACAAATAAAGTGATGTATAGGCATTGTATTAGATATTATAATCTAGAGATGACTTATAGTAGACAAGAGGATGTGCCTAGGTTATATGCAAACACTGTGTCATTTTATAGAAGAGACTGGGGCATCTGCAGAATTAGGTATCCCGGGGGACCTAGAATCAGCTCCCCTGGGATACTGGGGGACAACTGTATTTATTTGTTTATTCCTTCCTTTATTTATTTATTAAAGATGTCTCTATTGAGCATGGATTATGTCTCAGATACTGTTTTAGGCACTGGGAATACGGCGGTGAACCAAACAGATAAAACTTGCTCCCCTCATGGAGCTCCCATTCTATTCCAGGCCATCCAGGCCTGGCTCAATGGGAGGTGCTCGGGCTGCCCTCCCTGTTGGGATGCATCCCTGGCAGGCCTGAGCCCCCTTCCACTTCACTAGACTCCAACTTTTGTATTACCCTCCACCTTTTCATTGGCTCTGACTTTAGTGGTATAATTTGAAAAATAGGTAAAATATGGAGGAGTATGTTAGAAGGTCATGAGCACTAGAAGAATAAAACAGAGATGTGAGATAGAGAGGAGGAGGAGTTTGCAATTTTAGATGACATGGCAGGAAAGGCCTGGCCGAGAAGGTGACACTGAAGTAAAGACCAAGAGAGGGTGAACAACCAGCTGTGCAAATCCAATAGTCCACCCTAATCCACACTTTTGCTTCCTGAGGTTTTAGTTACCTGAGATTAACCTCAGTCCGAAAATATTACATACAGTAAGATATGTTGAGAGAGAGGGGCAACATTCACATAACTTTTATGATAGTATATTGTCGTAATTGTTCGGCATTGTTATTGTTGTTAATCTCTTACTGTGCCTAATTTATAAATTAAACCATATCATAGGTATTTATATAGGAAAATATATATATGGGAATGAGATCAGAGATGAGTGTAGGGCCTTTGGACATTGAAAGGGCTTTGGTTTTACTCTGATTGACTTGCACAACAGTGGAGGGTTTTGAACACAGATTACATGATTTGAGAAACAGAGGAAAAGAAGGAGAGAGGGGCACCTTCTTCCCTCCCACCTGTTATTCACTGTCCCAAATATAAAACCTCTGCTGGCCGGGCGTGGTGGCTCACGCCTGTAATCCTAGCACTTTGGGAGGCCGAGGCGGGCGGATTGCTCAAGGTCAGGAGTTCGAACCAGCTGAGTGAGACCCCGTCTTACCAAAATAGAAATAATTAATTGACCAACTAAAAAAAATATATATATACAAAAAATTAGCTGGGCATGGTGGCGCATGCCTGTAGTCCCAGCTACTTGGGAGGCTGAGGCAGTAGGATCGCTGAGCCCGGGAATTGAGGTTGCTGTGAGCTAGGCTGACGCCACGGCACTCACTCTAGCCTGGGCAACAAAGTGAGACTCTGTCTCAAAAAAAAAAAAAAAAAAACCTCTGCTAATTATGTCTGTACAGAAATGGAAAATGAACCAAGTGGAGCTGTAGGAGAGACTGCAAGTGCCCTGAACTCCTGTAGTGGATAAAGGGCTGAGAAGGGACAGAGGCAGAACATAGGAAGTGTACTGTAGTGTGGGATGCTCTTAGTCACTGGAAGTCTTGTTTTTCAGAGACTTTTCTGAATTTTGTATTGCCCTTAGGAATGTGTAAATGGAATCATTTCCTTTATAACCTTTTATATCAAAAAGAGTATTCTCAGCCGGGCGCGGTGGCTCACACCTGTAATCCTAACACTCTGGAAGGCCAAGGCGGGCGGATCGCTCAAGGTCGGGAGTTCGAAAGCAGCTGGAGCAAGAGCAAGACCCCATCTGTACTATAAATAGAAAGAAATTAATTGGGCAACTAATATATATAGAAAAAATTAGCCAAGCATGGTGGTACATGCCTGTAGTCCCAGCTACTCGGGAGGCTGAGGCAGCAGGATTGCTTGAGTCCAGGAGTTTGAGGTTGCTGTGAGCTAGGCTGACGCCACGGCACTTACTGTAGCCTGGACAACAAAGCGAGACTCTGTCTCAAAAAAAAAAAAAGAAAGAAAGGAAAGAAAGAAAGAGTATTCTTTTCCTTGGCAAAGGCGGAGGTGCTCTATCCTGATCAGTGGATTATTGGATTCATTAAAAGCCTTTCCTGATTCCCTGGAATTCATAGCAATCTTGGAAATAAGGGGTTGGACTTTTTCTTATCTAAAAAGTCCTGATGCTTGGGCTGGTGGCTTATGCCTATAATCCCAGCACTTTGGGAGGCTGAGGTTGAGCCCAGAAGTTTGAGGTTGCAGTGAGCTATGATGATACCACTATACTCCTGGGTAACAGAGCAAGGCTCTGACTGTAAAAACAAACAAGTTTGTGGAAAAATTGAATTAAAAGAAAAAAATTAAAAATGTATACTTTATTTCTCAACGTAAGCTCTATCAACTTCAAGATACTTTTGTAAATGATGATACCAGCCATTTAGTCCATCCCTAAAGGACTAAGGGTCCTGGGAATTTAACCATGTCAATGCAGTCTTTTTTACATTATTAACTGAGGAATAATAGGTGCTCTTTAAAGACTTTTTTAAGATTAGGAAACAAAAAGAAGTCAGAAACAGTCAAATCAGGACTATACCGTGGATGCCTAATGATTTTCTCCCTCAGAGAATTCTTATGAAATTAACCAGCAGGAGCATTGTCACGATGGAGAAGGACACTGGTGAAGCTATTTTTGGCATTTTTCTGCTAAGGCTTTGGCTAACTTTTTCAAAACACTCACATAATAAGCAGATGTTATCATTCTTTGGCCCTCCAGAAAGTCAACAAGCAAAATGCGTTGAGCATCCCAAGAAACTGTTGCCAGGACCTTGACCGATCCACTTTTGCTTTGACTGATGACTTCTACCACTTGTTGCCATTGCCTTGCTTGTCCTTTGTCTTCAGGATCTCACTGGTGAAGCCATGTTACATCTCCTCTTACAGTTCTTCAAAGAAATGCTTCAGGATCTTGATCCCACTTGTTTAAAATTTCCACTGAAACCTCTGTTCTTGTCTGCAGCTGATCTGGGCACAACAGTTTTGGCACCCACATCGAGTGGAAAGTTTGCTCAACTTTAATTTTTCCATCAGAATTGTGTAAGCTGAACCGATTGAGATGTCTGTGGTGTTGGCTATTGTTTGGGCAGTTAATTGTCATTCCTCTTCAATTAGGGCATTAGCAAGCGGAATTTTCTCCTTGCAATTTGACATGGATAGTTTGCCACTGCAGGCTGCATCTTCAGTATTATCTCTTCTTAAAACGAGGTATCCATTTGTAAACTGCTGATTTCTTTGGAACATCATCCCCATAACTGTAAAGCATCTGTGATTTCACCATTCTTTCACCCAAGCTTCACCATAAATTTGGTGTTTGTTCTTGCTTCAATTACAGCAAAATTCATGTTGCTCTGATAGGAGTTCTCTTCAGATGATATCTTATTGCCTCAAACTAGATTCTGTTCAGACATGTTACAAGTTAGTATGAGCTTATTTTGGGGAAAAAGTTTTTGAAATCTTTGTATAATTTTTTCATAATGCATGTTTTTTATGGACTTTTTGAAGACCTCCACATATATTTATGGAGTACAAAATGATGTTATGATTTATGAATATAGTGTAGAATAATTAAATAGAGCTGATTAACATGTTCATCACCTCAAATACTTATCATTTTTTGTGCTGAGAACATTTGTAGTTTATTCTCTCAGCTACTTTTCTTTTTTAGAGATGGGGTCTTGCTATGTTGCCCAGGTTGGCCTTGAATTCTCGGCTCAAGCGATCCTCCTGCTTCAGCATCCTGAGTAGCTGGAATTATAGGTGTGCACCACTGTTTCGGGCTTAGCAATTTTGAAATGTACAGTGCATTATTATTTTCTGTATTCACCACACTGTGCAATATTTCTCAAAGGAAAAAAAAATTTTTTCCTGTTTGTCTAAGGCTTTGTGCCCTTTGACCATCATCTTCTCAATTTTCCCACCCTCCCAGCTTCTGGTAACCACTATTCTTCTCTCTGCTCCTTCAAATTCAATTGTTTTTGGATTTTACATCTAAGTGAGAACATACGGTATTTGTCTTTCTATGCCTGGCTTATTTAACTTAGCATGATGTTTTCCACTTCCATCCATGTTGTCCCAAATGACAGGATTCCCTTCTTTTTTAAGGCTGACTAGTATTCCGTTGTGTAGATATGCCACGTTTTCTTTATTCATCCATTGATGGACATTTAGGTTGATTTCTTAACTATTGTGAATAGTGATTCAATAAACATGAGAGTGCAGACGTCTCTTCAACATACTGATTTCACATCTTTTGGGTAAATACCCAGAAGTGGGATCTAATGATGGTTTCCTGACTACTATTTTTCTTAACTACAACCTGTTTTTCCTTATGATAAAGACGGCATTCGGTAATGAACAAGGTGGTGAGATCATCAAGTGAGTCAGAGGTGCAGCTCTGGGAAACAGAAGAGGATGACATGACAGAAGGTGATTTGGGATATGGCCTTGGAAGAAGACCTGGTGGTATTTATGAAGTGGAAGTTTCACAATTATTTACATCTAGAAAAAGGTCAGATGGAAAGAACTTTAGCCCTCCCCCATTTCCAAGAAAGGAGGAAGAAAGAAGTGGAGGTATTTTTCAATATTCCAAACAAAAGAGCTTGCAAGATACATACTCTCAAGGGTCTAGAATTTCCAGTTACAGAAGACAAAGTAGCACCGGTAAGAATGCCAAATTTCCTCTCCTTTTTTCTTCTGTGAATTTTATCAATGCTGTGACCCTTCCAACACACAAAAATAGGTAACTGTAGTAGATTTTAGAAATTCATTTTTATTCACCTCTTGGGGTCAATGATAATACAAAAGTAATTGATGTTTATATTTCTAAGTATCGTACAACTTTTGAAGTACGGTAGTTGTTAAGCATCAATAATATATGTTTGTTAATGGTATCAGTAAGTTCAGTAAGTGGTTACTGACTTTGTTTTTTTGTTGTTGTTATTGTTATGTACTTTTTTTTTCTTAGTCAACAAATATTTATTAGTAACATTAAGTGCTAGGCACAGTTCTAGTTTCTGGGAATAGTGTCAGTGAACAAAATAGGCAAAAGCCCTAATGTCATGGATGTCATACTCTTATAGAGGAGATAGAAAATAAACCTGCAAATAACAGATGTATAACATCAGGCTGCGGAAATTGAAAGAATAGTGGGTGACTATGGGGATGGGGCACTACTGTTTCAAGCCAGGGGGAGGGAAAGGCTACCTAAGTAGCTAACATCTGAGCACCTGAATGAAGCGGGGAGCAAGCCTGGAGGCTTTCTAGGAAAGGAGTATTCCGGGCAGAACACAGATGCTTCCAATTATTGTAGGGTATCACAAAATTCTCAAAAATTGTCAAAAAATATAAATGTATCATAACCAAAAAGGAATTATTCCTTATATTAGGGAAAGAATAAAATTCAGGATCATTTTGTGAGAGAATGTTACAACTCCAAAATGATTGGGAATTCATGGATGAGTCCATACGTGTACTGTGGCACCAGCTCTTTTCTGGCTGAATCTTTTGTAATCCATGATGTAAAACTTCACCTCCTGAGACTTCCCTCACCAAAGTTGAACACCCACAAATTAGGGCAACATGAGAATAATTTGAGAAACATGATTTCAGATTCACAAAAAGCATGTTGCATCTTGGGGTTCATTCCCATCCTTCAAAATCCTTCTTGAAATTAGAATGGGATTATTTGTAGATTTTTCTTCCAGTTCGTTAGAGGATGAACTCTGTTTTGTAAGCAAGATGTTGAAAACTGAATATAATACTAAGATGCCTTTATACAAACATGAGAAAAGTGCTGAGATATAAATAAGATGTAATGATAATATTATAGTATGAGTTCCTGTTTTGTTGAGTTATGGACTTTTGTCTTTGTGTTAAGGTTGGCCCTATCCTAGGTAAGGGTATTATATTAGTTTCTTATTGTTAATAGATAATTTCTAAAATATCACAAATTTAGTGACTTAAAACAACACAGATTTATTATTTTACAGTTCTGTAGGTGAGAAGTCCAAAACAAATTTCACTGGACTAAAATCAAAGTGCTGCAGGGCTGTGTTCCTTCTGGAAGTTCTAGGAGAGACTCTGTTCCCTTGCCTCTTCTAGCTTCCAGAGGCTGCCTGTATTCCTTTGCTCATGGCCCCTTTCTCCGTCTTCAAAGCCAGCAATGGCTGGTTGAGTTGTTCTCACATCATGTCACTGTGACACTGAATCTCTTGCCTCCCTGTTTTTTAATAAGAATTCTTATGAGCACATTGGACCCACTTGGATAATCCAGGGTAATCTCCCATCTCAAAATCCTTAATTTAATCACATCTCTGTCTTTGGAGCTTTTGTTCTGCTTATAATAAGTATTAATAGAACAGAAATGTTTTTTGCCAACTCAGTGTTTCTCTGTCCTTCCTTGGAATCCTGTTTCATCACAGTAAAACATGATTTAGGTTTTGCCTTGGATACAGTCATGTGGATGGAAAGTTCAGAATAGCAAAGAAGAAAAATGGTTTTGAGAATTTTTTTCTTTTCTTTTTCCAGAATAAACATTCTTGTCAAGAATTTTTTTTTTTTTGAGATAGGCTATTGTTATGTTGCCCAAGCAAGACTTGAACTCCTGGGCTGAAGTGATTTTTCTACCTCAGCCTCCTGAGTAGCTGGGATTACAGGCTCATGCCACGATGCATGGCTTCAAGAAGTTTTTAATGTTTCTCAAAATAATCTTTTTTTTTTTTAATTTTTTTTTTCAAAATAATCTTTATAAAATTATTTTTCTTCATTTTATTTCTTATACTCTTGCTTGTAACTTTCTACCTTAATTTTTTTATTGTCAGTGAAATGAAATTGAAACTTTTAGAACTCTCAGTTTAATTTCTCAGTTGATTCCATTAAGGAGAGAATAATTGAAGTTACAAGAGACTTCTAGTCATTCTCCTTGGAAAGAAATTAAATATAGTTTATTTCTTAGATAAGCATATTATTATACTGATAAAGCTTAAGCTAAACACCAAAATCTGTTTATTTTACTCACCAATATTCATGTTTTTCTATTTTGTGTTTGAATATAAGAATTAACCAATTCATTAACATCGTTTTATTTTTAGAGTCCTTTTTTTAAAGGCCTTTTCATTCAAAAGTACAGTGTGTGTCTTTTCATTTGTGAAATGTTTTAAGCTACCTGTTTTGATCATTATTTGGTCTATTATAATTATTTTCTTTTTCCAGTTTAGGGCAAACCTGTATTTGATAATTTGTAACCAAAGGTCCTGTTGTTTAATTAAAGAAAATATCCAAGTTTTTTCCCCCTCTAATAGATTCTACTTCAGAATTGTCAAATGAAGAATTAAGGCAGTATCTTCATGAAACTTTAGAGGTAAGTACTCCTGCTAATATAAAAACTCTTATGTAAATAAAGTCTGTTGATAGATACTTTCTTTAAATACTACTAAAACCATGTGGAAGACAAATATTGGCTTTCCAGATATTCTTTTTTTTTTTTGAGACAGAGTCTCGCTTTGTTGCCCAGGCTAGAGGTGCAGTGCCGGCATCAGCCTTAGCTCACGCAACCTCAAACTCCTGGGCTCAAGCACATCCTGCTGCCTCAGCCTCCCAAGTAGCTGGACTACAGGCATGCGCCACATTGCCTGGCTAATCTTTTCTATATATTAGTTGCCATTAATTAATTTTTTCTTTATTTATAGTAAGATGGTCTCGCTCTTGCTCAGGGTGGTTTCGAACTTTACTCGAGCAATTCCTGCCGCTCTCCTCCCAAGAGTGTAGGATTACAGGTGTGAGCCACCGCGCCCGGCTATCCAGATATTCTTGATGAAGACAGTCTAAAGCTCCTAATGTTTCACATGCTCCTCCTCTGTTTCTTACCCACCTCATCTCTTAAAAAGCCTATTTATGTAAACATGCCCACTAGTTCTCCCTTCCACTCTACTTCTCTAATCTCCTCCTTGAAAATAATTATGGCTTCCTTTCATCTCCCTTCCCTATGTATGGCTTGAAATAACCTGACTTAATTTAACCTCCTTGAAGTTAGAAGACCAGAGCTTCTCACAGGTGGCCTGAGGAACCCATCCAGCTTAGTGGGAACAGCAGTTTCTGTGAGGGGTGCCTATCCTTTGGGAAATAGGAAGCCCACCTTAGTATGTTTATGACTCTTCTCATGAAAGTTACAGTATTAGTTTCCTAGGGGCTGCCATGACAAAGCATTACAAACTGGTGGCTTAAAACAACAGAAATCTATTCCCTCTCAGTTGTGGAGGCCAGAAGTTTAAAATCAAGGTGTTAGCAGCCTTTTCTCTCTGAAGGCTTTAGATGAGACTTCTCCTTTGCCTCTTCCTACCTTCTGATGGTTGCTGCAATCTTTGGCATTCTTTGGCTGGTAGCTGCATAAAACCAGTCTCTGACTCTGCTGTCACATGGCCTTTTCCCTGTGAGTCTGTGCCCAAATTTTTCTCATTTTATAAGGATACGGTCATTGGATTAGGCTCACCCTAATCCACTGTGATTTCATTTTAACTTGATTACATCTGTTAAAGTAAATTTGGCCTGAGTCTGCCTCCTTACCTTGAGTCCTGAAGTAAGAAACTACAATCTAACTTAGTATGCAATAGAATTGAGGTGGGGTACACAGTGGCTCCAACCTGTAATCCCAGCATTTGGGGAGGCTAAGGTGGGAGGACAGCTTGAGGCCAGGAAAGCAATTTCAATTTTATATTATTAGTTCTATGGCCTAGTGAGTAAGAGGAAGAGGTTTGGGCTTTTAGTTACAACCGGCACCTGATAGTGAAGCTCTCAATTCTAGCATGTCTGGTTCACTTACGACATCTAGAGGAATTTCCAACTTCATTTGTAAGTGCTTTGAGGCAAGGATAACTGAAGACTAATCAAATTGATCGTTTTGGGGTTGCATATCTTGCAGATAGGAATACTAATTTTATTTCTGTCCTCAGGAGGTAGAAATTTTAAAAACTGAACTTGAGGCATCTCAAAGACAACTTGAAAGTAAAGAGGAAGCACTGAAAATTCTTCAAAGCATGGTAAAAAGTTACTATTAAACTTTCATCACTTACAAGTACTAATAATTGGTATGGTTTTAGCTTTTAAAACAAGAGCAGCAGTACTTTAATATAGTTGGGGTCTGTAAGGTACAGATTTTTTTTTAACAGCTTTATAATCAACTTATCTCCATGAATTTTACTTATTTTAAGTGTACACTATGATTTATATTTACTGAACTTAAGAGTTGTCCAACTGTCACTACAATCAAATTTTAGACATTTCCAACACCCACATAAAGGAACCTCGGGTCCATTTGCAGTCACTCCTCATTCTCATTCCCAGTCCCAGACAACTACTAATCTACTTTCTGTCTTACAGATTTGCCTTTTCTGTTTCATATTAAAAGAATCGTACAATATGTGACTAGATTCTTTTGCATCTGGATTCTTTTAGTTATGTTTTTGAGATCCATGCATGTTGCAGCATGTGTCAGTACTTTCTTTTTATTGCCATATAATATTCCATTGTATAGATATACCACATTTTGTTTATCCATTCACCAGTTGATGGACATTTGGGTTGTTTCGTTTTTTTGACTGATGAATAATACTGCTTTGAACATTTTCTTTGTGTGGAAAATTCATTCATTCCCACATTAATTGGAAAAGAGCCAAGCCAAGATCTTCTGATTTTTGAACTATTGAACTCACCACAAAAGATGGTCACTGTGAAATTCTCAAGATAATTTTCTGACTTAAAAATGAAAATGTGAGCTTCAATGATTAGAAATTTAATTTATACTGATGTTATTTTTATTTTTCTTAGGCAATACTTGGGAAAGCCACAAGTCATACCCAGGCAGTGCTTCAAAAAACTATGGAACAAAAGAGATTCTTGGAGAAGGTATTTGCCACTTTTAGTGTGGACTTGTTCAGTCCAGTAAGCTTTAAATAGAATTTCCTTAAACTCACTGTACTAATATGTCATTTGTGCATAGTCTCTGCTAGATGTGCTTCAGTTTCTCCCTTTTGGAGCTTATAATCTAAAACAAATTGTCACATGGGCAAAGAATTAAGGTTTCTTTTATTTCCCCATTATAAGGTAGTAAGAGGCCTGCCAAATGGTTACTTATTTATTTATTTATAATTTATATAAATTTAAGGGGTACACATGCAGTTTTGTTACATAGATATAGTGTGTAGTGGTGAAGTCTGGGCTTTTAGTGTCACTATCACCGGAATAATTAATGTACATTGTACCCATTAAGTAATTTCTCATCCCTAGCCCCCTCCCACCTTCCTGCCCTCCTGAGTCTCCAGTGTCTATTATGTCTATTATTACCTACTCTGTGTCCACGTGTACACATTATTTAGCTCCCACTTATAAGTAGGAACTTTTAAGCAGTATTTGACTTTCTGAGTTATTTTCACTTAAGATAATGGCCTCTACTATGATATCATTCTTTTTCGTGGCTTAATAGTATTCCTCTGTGTGTGTGTGTGTGTGTGTGTGTGTGTGTGTGTGTGTGTGTCACATTTTCTTTATCCAATCATTCATTGATGGGTACTTAGGTTGATTTCATATCTTTGCTATTGTGAATAGTGCTAAAATAAAACATGAGTGTAGGTATTGCTTTGATATAATGATTTCTTTTCCTTGGAACATATACCCAGTAGTGGGATTGCTGAATCGAATGGTAGTTCTATTTTTATTTCTTTGAGAAATTGCCATACCGTTTTCCATAGGGGTTTACTAATTTATGTTCCCACTAACAGTATATGAGAGTTCTCTTTTCTCCATGTCCTCACCAACATCTATTATGTTTTACTTTTTAGTAATAGCCATTCTGAACTGGTATAGGATGATATCTCATTGTGGTTTTAATTTTCATTTCTCAGGTGATTAGTGATGTTGAGCATTTTTTTCATATGGTTGTTTGTCATTTGTATGTCTTATTTTGAAAAATATCTATTCATGTTCTTTGCCTACTTTTTAATGGGATTATTTGGGTTTTTTTATTGTTGAGTTGTGTGAATACTTTCTATTTTTCTTATTCGTTTTGTGTTTTTATTCTTCTGCTTGCCTGGCAGGGCCTGCCTCTTTCTGTTCATCTCATCATCACTACAAAGGTACTTAGGAGTCATCCCAAATGGTCATCTTTCCTGTGCTTTTTGTGCCATCCCCTGATGGCACCATTTGGGCTAAGACTTATAAGAGTGAATTTTGTCTACATGGGGTCAGGGGTGAGCACTGAGAAATCTTGGTTCAGTCCAGAAAATTTTGAAGATAAACAATTTAAAATTTGTTCTATATTAAGTGAGCTTTGGCAAAGTTTTTTTGAGTGCTAAAGAGGCATGTTATATGTGTTTACAAATGTCATAGCTTTTTTGAGCAGTAACTAATTTTTCCTCTTTAAACCATTTCCGTGAAATGATTACATGATTTAGTTATTCATACTGTCCTGAAATGATTTATTTGTAGTAATTTGCCATGAAAGTGCTATTTTCTTTCCATAGGAAATAAATGCCTTACAGTGGGAAATAGAATTTGATCAGAATAGATTTAAAAATATAGAGGAATCTTGGACTCAAAAATATGACAGGTTTGTATATTCTTATTTCATAATTTTTCTTTGAAAATCTTTAAAACGTGTATAATTCAAACATAGCCTAGGCTTTCTTCTGTTTTTGAGCTAACTGTAAAATATTATAAAAATTGTTACTCCTTGTCCACTTACTAGTTTCATATTTTTCTGTTAGTGTTAAGTTTTTCTAAAAAAATAGTATAAACTATATTTTATAATACAATGTAAGAACCATGTTTTTCAAATTATTTTAGCATTGGAACTGTTTGTTTGTTCTTTGAGACAGGGTCTCTCTCTGTCATCTAGGCTGGAGTATAGTGGCAGAATCATAGCTTACTGCAACCTAAAACTCCTGGGCACAAGTGATCCTACTGTCTCAGCCTCCTGAGTAGCTGGGACTACAGCCATGCACCACTGTGCCCAGCTATTTTTTAAATTTTTTGTAGAGACAGGTTCTCACTGTGTTGCCCAGGCTCATCTCAAACTCCTGGCTCAAGTGATCCACTTGCCTAAGGCTCCCAAGTAGCTAGGTCTGCAGGTGTGTGCCACTACACCTGGCTAATTTGTTTTATTTTTTTGAGAGATGAGGTCTCACTGTGTTGCCCAGGGCTGGTCTCAAACTCCTGGCCTCAGGAGTGATCCTCCCTCCTCAGCCTACCAAATTGCTGGAATTGCAAGCATGAGCCGCAGTGCCCAGCCTATGAAATGTTTGATAGATATTTTTATTTAAGAGTATAATCCTCCTGGTTGAATGACCAGGACTAAAAAAATACATACATACACATATACATACACACACACACACACACACACATATATATATATATATATAGCCAGGCATCATGGCTGGCATCATGGCGTGATCCTAATTAGTCCCAGCTACACTGGAGACTGAGGTGGGAAGATTACTTGAGCCCTGGAATTTGAGGCTGCAGTGACCTATGATCATGCCACTGCACTGTAGCCTGGATGGCAGAGTGAGACTCCATCTCCAAAATAAAATAAAATAAGCTTAACAGAAGATCTGGCTTCTGTTTTTAATTCCAAAAAACAATTTTCTGTTAAGCCTCTCTCATGCTGGACAATTTAGGAAGTAATTCAGGAAGTCTTGTATCTAATTCCAATTTTTATTCTATAGATAAACCTACCTGTATATTTTTTATTTTTTATTTATTCATTTATTTTTTTGAGACAGAGTCTCACTTTGTTGCCCAGGCTAGAGTGAGTGCCGTGGCATCAGCCTAGCTCACAGCAACCTCAAACTCCTGGGCTCAAACTGCCTCAGCCTCCCGAGTAGCTGGGACTACAGGCATGCGCTACCATGCCCAGCTAATTTTTTCTATATATATTAGTTGGCCAATTAATTTCTTTCTATTATAGTAGAGATGGGGTCTTGCTCTTGCTCAGGCTGGTTTCGAACTCCTGACCTTGAGCAATCCGCCCACCTCGGCCTCCCAGAGAGCTAGGATTACAGGTGTGAGCCACCGTGCCCAGCCTATATTGACACTTTTATTACATAAAGTCCATAGTTTACATGGGGACCTATGTATCTTTTTATGAATGTTTTTTAAGATGGCCTAAGCTCCTAGTTGGTGTTCAAATGGTTACTACGTTGAATTAAAATTAAAGAGAATGAGTATGCAAAATGGATGCCTAGAAATATTTCTAATTCTGATTATTTCTCAACAAAGTATACAAAAGGTTAAGAGTCTGTTTAAAAATCATACCACACTTCTTTAACTTGTCCTCATTTTCATGACATATGTAAATTCTAGACTACTTTGAAGTAGGAAAAATTATATTTAGGTTTTTGTGATTTAATAATGGAAATAAAAATATTCTCATTCAGCAAGAAAGTGTTAATGTTCTACTTATTTGAAGGGTACTTTTTTCCTAGACTAAATTGTGAAAATGCTGTCCTCAAAGAGAATTTGAAACTGAAAACAGAAAAAATTAAAATGCTGAAGTCTGAAAATACAGGTAAGTACAGAGTGGTATTTTGATGGCTCTTTAAAAATATTATGTTAAGCTGGGTGTGGTGGCATGTACCTGTAGCCCCAGCTACTAGGGAGGCTGAGGCAGGAGCATCACTTTGGCCCAGGAGTTTGTGACCATCCTGGGCAACATATCAAGACCCTATCTCAGAAAAAAATAAATAAATAAAATTAAAATATTATGTTAAAAGATTAGTTTTATGTAAGAGTGTCCTGTATTAAATACACATGTATCAGCTAAGTGTGGTAGCTCATGCCTGTAATCCTAGCACTTTGTGAGGCCAAGGCAGGAAAACAGCTTGAAGCCAGAAGTTCAAGACCAACCAGAGCAACATAGTGAGACTCAGTCTCTACAAAAAATAATTTAGAAAATTAGAGAGACTGACATGCACAGAAGGAATATGATATGAAGAGACATAGGGAAAAGGTGGCCATCTACAAGTGAAGGAGCAAGGCCTGGGACAGATCCTTCCCTTATAACCTTCAGAATGAACCAACCTTACTGACGCCCTGATTTCAGATTTCTAGCTTTGAGAACTATAAGTAAACTAATTCAATGAGAATGCAGTCAAGTGCTGGCAGCCTATGTATCATTCTGACTATACAAGTGGAGACAGGGTCTTGCTCTTACTCAGGCTGCCCAAGCTCAAGAGATCCACCTGCCTTGGCCTCTCAGAGTACTAGGATTACAGGTGTGAGCCACTGCACCTGGCCAATCAGTTATCAGATTTTCTATATCTCTTTCTTAAATATTCAGTCTGAATCTTGTAAGATTGTGACTTATGGTTGTAGAATAACTTAGAAGTTCCCTGATAATGTACTCCTGTAAATGCAAGCCATTGTCATGTCTTTTTCTTTTTTTTTTTAATAAAGATGCAGTGCTGACTCAAAAAACAAAAAGAAAATTAGTGGGGCCTGGTGGCATGTGCCTGTAGTCCCAGCTACTCAGGAGGTTGGAGCAGGAGAATTGCTTGAGCCCAAGAGTTGTAGGCTGCATGCAGTGAGCTATGATGATGTCACTGCACTCTAGCCTGGGTGACAGAGCGAGACTTTGTCTCAAAAAAAACCAAGTATCAATAAAGATGAAGTGCTAGTATTTTGAATTAATATATTTTAGGGATAATAGAAGGAAGAAATGCATGATTTAGGGTTTTTTTTAAATTAAAAAAAATTTATCAAAGTGAAATTCCAGAACAGTTTCAGCACTCCCAAGTAAAACCTTATACCCATTAAGCAATTTCTATCCTCATTCCCCTCTTTTCATTTAGTTTTCAGTATAAAGCAAAATGGTAGAGAACCTGATGTTTGGGGAACTGAAGTAGAAATTATGTGTTATAATTTTACATTATATACCCCTTATATAATGAACCACCTTATGATGAAAGTTGATGGAGGGCTATACAGGTATTTGATATTAGCTTTTTAAAAATTTTTAAGAGATGTTAATTCTCCCTTCTTTGAAGAAACTGTTTTAAAAGAATGGTTTGAAGGGGACAAAACAGGTTCTAAATCAGGTCCTGAGGCTGAGAATGGCACTTTCTATTGTGTCATAACTGCGCTGTGTAAATGCCTCTGGTTTTTACACACACAGGTGGTGCTTCTTGGCACTAGGGACTGGACTGATGAGGATGCCTCCTGTGTTGGATTAGTTCAGGGCAGAAGCTGCTTGTGATCACAAGCTCTCGCCTTCCTCGCTACCACTCCACCCTGCAGTGGGAGGGGAAAAGTTACTGTTTTCTGATCTACAGTAGATAATAGGACCCCTCTTGTTCTAAATGTTTGGTTTGGGAGCCTCTTGTGAAAACTCTTAACTAAAAGAGAAATGTGATAGGGTTTGGATAGCTCATTTATTTGGCATGAATACAATATATAAGATCTCACCATCCATTTGTCTTACTGTCCATAAAGTCTCTGAATAAATTGCCTCTACATATTCCCTTTTTGAAAATCCTGCAAATTTTCCAAGAGCAAACAAGGAATAGACTTCTGTCACAAAATTAAGATTTTTCCACATTAAGAATGACATCATTATCTCACATGCTGCCTATTTTTCTTATTTTTAATTTTTTTATTATTTTTTTTCTTCTATATATATTTTTTCTTTTTTTTCTTTTTTTCTGACATATAAAGAACTTAGAGCCTACTTTTCTATCAGGTAGATTTTCTGGATGGAGCCAGATCTTGTGGCTAATGTCTATTGTTTATGCATTGCTTATAAGAAATGAGTATGTGATGTTGGTATAACTAGATTAGATGAGGTTGGAGTTAGACTTCATAACTAACACTTTCTTACATGGCCCTTTCTAGTTTTGAATCAACAGTATTTGGAGGTCCTCGCCATGCTTGATATCAAACAGCAGAAGATGGCTCAGGAAAACACGTGCCATGATAAAAGTGGCTTTGTAGAGGTTTCAGGTCTTGAGGTGGGTAAGCAAATATGAAAGTTGAACAGGAGGGAAGTTTTCTACTTTCCTTTTCTTTCCCTCCTTGCCCTTTGGTACATGTTCTAGGATAGCGCATACTTCAGCAATTTGAGAGTGAGAGTTAGAGAGGCCTTTGGGCTTGCCCAGGTCGGTTCCTCTAGCCTTGCTGATACCATGCCCTTCATGCAGGACATTCTTGAACACTAGGGAATGTGCTGACCACTTCCTGCCCGGTTTATTTCTTATTTTTTATAGCTCTAGCAGAAGCTATGTTAGTAGTATCTCACACCTGGGTTGGTGCTTACGGTTTCAGAGTACTTTTACGCACATTATCTACCTGATATTCACAGTAGTCTTGTGAGGGGTGCAAAGCAGGTATTATCCCCATTTTAGAGAGGTGGAAACTAAGGCTCAGATAAGTTCAATTATTTTTCTGAGGTTATGAGGTCAATCAATGGTAGAACCAGGTTAAGAACGAAGGTCTAATGATGCATTGCTAATGGCTTGCAATGTGGGAGTTTGGCTAATAAGGTCAGAAGGGTCCTGGGGCTGGGCATGGTGGCTCACGCCTGTAATCTTAGCACTTTGGGAGGCCAGGAGTTCAAGACCAGCCTGGGTAATATAGTAAGACCCCATCTCTACAAAAAATAAAAAATGTAGCTGAGTGTGATGGTGTATACCTATAGTCCCAGCTGCTCAGGAGGCTGAGGATTGCTTGAGCCCAGGAGTTTGAAGTTTCAGTGAGCTATACTCTAGCCTGGGCAACAGAGCAAGACCCTGTCTCAAAAAAGGAAAAAGAAAAAGGTCCTGGGACTTCCAAGAAATAAGCATAACAGTAGAGTGAAAGGGGCTGCCACTCACTCTTTGTGGGATTTCAAAAAAGCAAAATTGTTAATAATAATAACAGACACCTACTTAGTCCTTAACAAGTGCCAGATGTTCTAAGTGCTTTATATAAATTGACACATTTAATCCTCAATACCCAATAAAGTGGGTACATTATAATCCCTGATTATAATCCCCATATTACAAATGGTACAGTGAGGTTAAGCAATTTGCCTGAAGTCACACAGCTAGTAGGTGGTAGATTTGGAATTTGCTCTACTGCCAATAGCAAAAAGGGAAAATAAAAGAAACTGAACTGAGAAGAAAGTTCTGGAAAAGGATGCTTTGTTATAGGCTTGAGTAGGCTATGGGACCAACCTTACCCCAGATCAGGCAGGAACAAGGGCCCTGATCTTGTTCCTGATGAAGGAGCACTGAGGGAAGAAAGTAGCATTAGGAGTCAGAGGTCCTTGCTGAAACCTGGTGTGTTTTATGTTGGTCCTACCTGTGTCTTAGTTACTTTTGACAACTTTGGCAGGAGTTATTATTAGGAGCAGGAAAAAGAAAAGGGAAAATACCTATTTGCCACATATCTACCATCGTACATTTGTCTCAACTGAAAGCTAACTCTGTGCTTCACAGTTTTCTTTGATGTGAGAATGAATTTTCTGAAATGGCCTTTATACTAAGGGGGGCTATGGAATTTTCCTCCCTAAAAGTCTCCAAAACAGGATTATATCTTAAGCCAACCTATCTATATGAAATTTACAGGAATAGGAAAAAACTTAGATAATAATTTTATAGTTAGTTCCACATGAAACTTTAAAAGACATAACACACTATGTTGCATAGATTGCCCCTGTTAAATTGGTACTTACTGGAATATGTTGGGAAAGTAATTTGTGGTTAGCTTCAAAAATGGGTTAAAAAAAATAGCATTCTTACTTTTCTTCCAACTACAGTGATCAACCAGGTGTCAACCTAAAATAATTAAAAGGATCAGAATTTAAAGAGAGTTGATTCAAGCACAAAGTTTGAGGACAGGCTGCCCAGGAAGAACAGATTCCAAAGAATGGAAGTCAGTGTTCCAAAGTGTAGAAGTTTGGGATTGCCTATACAGACAAAGTTTAGAGAAGTTTAACAGAATTTCAACATCTTTTTATGTAAGATTTAATGCATAGTTGCAACAATCTGATTAGTTAAGGTGTCTTTTTCTTTTGAGAAAGGTATATTTAACATACCACACTGACGATTTAATATTCTTGGGTTCTTGGGCACCATCTGACCTGAGTTAGGCCCAAGACAATAAAGGAAGCAGTTAATCTATAACAAAGATGAGTGATTGGAAGCGTGGAAGGTGTGATCTCTAGTCTCTACTAGTCATTTATAGAATAAGAACAATGAAGAAGAGAGTTAATCAGTAATCTGAGAAGCAGAATTTCAAACATGCTAAGTGACCCATTCTCCAGAGCTTAACTCCCTCCTTGATATAATAAACTTAGAGGGCTTTGACATTTTATTTTCTTTTATACAGGAGTGATCCATATGGACCATTAATTTTTTTTTTTTTTTAGGAGGAAAGGAATGATTGTTTTCCTCATTGACATATTAAAATGCACTCATATTCTGAGCATACAACTTTCCTTGTAGGGAACTGACACTAGTGAATTTCAGGCTTCAGGGCCAAACTGTCACAGGAAACCCAGGCTGTAGATGTTAATGTTAACAACTTTATTCGGCTAAACTCTTGCCAAGGACTCAGAATTATAGGGACTGATGCCAGGATTTACATATTTTAAGAGTAAAAGGAAGGAAGGTAAAACTCCTTTATGTTTTTGTTCCAAGTAATAACAATCTTTCTGTATTTGTAGTTAATTTCCACTTGGATCCTAAAATCCTGGTCCCAGCTTTCTTCTATTTTTTTTTTCCTTTACAGTTTCTTTGGATCAGATGCTTGAATAGTAATGTGCATGGGTATGTGTGTGGGTGCCCCTGTGTTTTTGTGCAGCTAAAACAGTATGACACTCAGTAATGGGGGTAATGTTTTTGGATTTAAAGCTTGCAGTCCTTGGAGCCTGCCTCTGTCATAGTCCTGGAGGGAACCCCTGTTCTTGTGCCAAAATGGCAGCATCAACTCGGAAACTGCTTCTTCAGCTCAAACAAGAGGTATTGCATTATCTCAATAGCAATAGCTTTGGTTTTGTTTCTCTACTAATAGTAGAATAAATGGAAGTATCTGTAATAATTAACTTCATTTTAATAGTTATTGGCTATGGAACTTATGCTTAGTTATATGATAGCATTAACTTATCAACTGGATTTTGTTTACCTGGGTCCAAAATACAGATACTATTTGGCATGATATATGAAGCCACCTAAAGTACTTTGCCTAAGTTTTTAGTTTTTTTTTTTTGTTTGTTTGTTTTTTTGAGATAGTCTTGCTCTGTTGCCTGGACTAGAGTGACGTGGCATCAACCTAGGTCACAGCAACCTCAAACTCCTGGGCTTAAGTGATTCTCCTGCCTCAGCCTCTGGAGTAGCTAGGACTACAGGCGTGTGCCACCACTCCCACCTAATTTTTTCTATTTTAAGTAGAGACAGTGTCTCACTCTTGCTTAAGCTGGTCTTGAACTCCTGACCTCAAAGCAATCCTCCCACCTCAGCCTCCCAGAGTGCTAGGATCACGGGTGTAAGCCACCACATCCAGCCATGGAGTGTATTTGAAGAGCAGCAAGGTACAGTGGAAGGAACCTTTATACCAGCCGGACTTAAGTTTGCATCTTTGCTCTACCATTTACTAGCTGTGCAGCTTTGAACAGAATAAGCCTCAGTTTTCTTATTATGTTCGGTGCAGGATAATAACTACCTTAGACCGGTTGTTGTGAGAATAGAGGAAATAGACATATAATGTTTAGCACAGTGCTATGAACATGCCAGACATTTAATCAAATGATAGATGCCATTATAATTGGGCTTTAGGCCAGCTACAGTGGCTCACACCTATAATTCCAGCACTTTGGGAGGGCGAGGTGGGACGATCGTTTGAGCCCAGAAATTCGAGACCAGCCTGGGCAACATAGCGAGACTCCATCTCTACCAAAAATTTAAAAATTAGCTGGTGCACCTTTAGTCCCAACTACTTGGGAGGCTGAGGCATGAGAATTACTTGAGCCCAGGAATTCAAGGTTGCAGTGAGCTACGATCACAACACTGTACTCCAGCCTGGGTGACAGAGTTAGACCCTGTCTCCAAAGAAAAAAAAAAGTTCCTTAATTACAAATATAGTGTATGGACCATAATTCTAAAAATCTTTTACTTTCATTAAAGATGTGGAATTTAAAGTTTTAGAGTATATAGGAAAGCAAACAGCTAAGCAGTAGCAATAAGAAAAGCGTAAGACTACATTGATCAGAGTCAAGGTCAGCTATAGGAGGAATAAGAAAGGTATGAATCATCATTACTTTCAGTGGTGTTGTCTGGAATGGTCCAAGGCCGAAGTGAAATGCAGTCTTTGGCATCTTTTCTTTTTTCTTGCTGGGCCCTTCCCTAGATTTGGACAAGACATACACAGGGCCTATACAGGGTAGTATATAGGGTTGAATTAGCAGGGAGTTGACAGGTACCATAAGGGAAACTGCTGGTAATCTAGGTCCAGAGTGGGCTGCTTACTACAGGAGAGAATTGGCAAGTCCTAGTTTAAACAGATAAACTAGATCAAACACAGGCAATAGACCAGTGCTAGGGAGAGAGATGGCATATGTTAATTTGATTACTCATTCAGGCAAGAATTGTTCTGGTTTTGCTTCTGACATCTCACAAATTTTCTTTCAAAACCAGTTGGAACTTTTGCAGAAGAGCAAAGAAGAAGCTTATATAATGGCGGATGCATTCAGAATTGCATTTGAGCAACAATTAATGAGGAAAAATGAACAGGCACTAAGATTGACACAAATGGATAAAATGTGTAAAAAAGCAACAAAACGGATAAATTGGAAGCACCTTAAAGAGGATGGTAACTATGAAGTATAATAGCAATAATTAGGTACAATTTTAGTTTTTTCAGTTATACTTAACGTTGATGAAGCATGTTTAATCCCGTGTGGGTGAATATAATTAAACTTTCACATACAGTTATTATTTATTTAAAAATTTAGCAACTATAAAAAAAGAGTCTTGGTATTCATTGTGCAGGAGTCTATTTTGGGATCACAAAACCGTATAAACGTAACAGGAGCTACTTCTCTTTATCTTTTAAAGTTAATGTTTTAAATTTAATTTAACTTTTTTTTTTGAGACATGGTCTCATTCTGTTGCCCAGGCTATAGTGTAATGGTGTCATCATAGCTCATTGTAACCTCAAACTCCTGGGCCCAAGCAGTCCTCCTGCCTCAGCCTCCTGAATATCTGGCACTACAGGTGCACAACCATACCTGGCGAATTTTTCTGTTTTTTATAGAGATGGAAGTCTTGCCCTTGCTCAGGCTGGTCTTTTTTTTTTTTGAGACAGAGTCATACTGTGTTGCCTGGGCTGTAGTGCCTTGGCGTCAGCCTAGCTCACACCAACCTCAACCTCCTGGGCTCCAGCAATCCTTCTGCCTCAGCCTCCTGAGTAGCTGGGACTACGGCATGTGCCACCTGCCCGGATTTTATTACATATTTATATGTTGGCCAATTAATTTCCTTCTATTTTTAGTAGAGATGGCATCTCGCTCTTGCTCAGGCTGGTTTTGAACTCCTGACCTTGAGCCATCCTCCTGCCTAGGCTTCCCAGAGTGCTAGGATTACAGGCATGAGCCACCACGTCTGGCCTCAGGCTGGTCTTGAACTCCTGGGCTCAAGTAATCCTACTGCCTCGGCCTCCCAAAGCACTAGGATTACAGGTATGAGCCACCACACCCAGCCAGCATCTCTTTTCTAATATTCTATTTTGTTTAAATAAGACCATGTTTAGTGGTTTAAAAAAATTATAATAAAAGTGCCAGGTGATTAAAGGGAAACTGCCAAGAAGGAAGTAATATTGAAAGTGACATTTAAACTTTACATTAAATGTCTTTATCTAATTAAACTTTATTGAAATGTATATTTCTACAAGAGAAATTGAGTAGAGGAAAAAATTTTAAAATTGGACGAATTAATAAGATATTTTTATAAAAAATGAAACGGAAGTTTAGGTTTAGGTTTTAGCTCGTGAACCATCAAAAGTTCATGGCCAATTCTGGCCTTTATGAAAAATCCCCAACCAATAAATGTTGGCACGGATGCAGAGAGATAGGAACATTCCTACATGCTGGTGGGACTACAAACTAGTTCAACCTCTGTGGAAAGCATATGGAGAGTACCTTAAAGCGATACAAGTAGATCTACCATTTGATCCGCAATTCCACTACTGGGATCTACCAAAAGATCAAAAGTCACTCTTATGAAAGACACCTGCACTCGAATGTTATGCAGCACAATTCACAATTGCAAAGTTGTGAAACAGCCCAAGTGCCATCCAAGTTCATGAGTGGATTAATAAAATGTGGTATATGTATACCATTGAGTACTATTCAGCTTTAAGAAACAATGGTGATATAGCACCTCTTGTATATTCCTGGATAGAGCTGGAACCCATTCTACTAAGTGAAGTATCTCAAGAATGGAAAAACAAGCACTACATGTACTCACCAGCAAACTGGTATTAATGGATCAACATCTAAGTGGACATATAGGAAAAACATTTATCGGGTGTCGGGCAGGTGGGAGGGGGGATTTTAGTGTATACAAAAATATATAGAAGTAGCATGAGAGAATTGAAACAGATTTTGCAATATAAACAAAGTAGCTGTTATTTTTTTTTAATTTTAGTTTCCGACTTGGGGCAGTGGCTCACGCCTTTAATCAAATCCTAGCACTCTGGGAGGCGAGGCGGGAGGATTGCTTGAGCTCAGGAGTTTGAGACCAGCCTGAGCAAGAGTGAGACCCTGTCTTTACTATAAATAGAAAGAAAATTAGCCAAACAACTAAAAATAGAAAAATTAGCCAGGCACAGTGGTGCGTGCCTGTAGTCCCAGCTACCTGGAAGGCTGAGGCAGGAGGATCGCTTGAGCCCAGGAGTTTGAGTTTGCTGTGAGCTAGGCTGACGCCACGGCACTCTAGCCCAGGCAACAGAGTGAGACTCCGTCTCAAGAAAAAAAAAATTTTTAGTTTCCCTAAATAGTCAGTATCAATTTTAATTTATTGATATCATTCAGTAGAATTCATGTTGCTTCAGTTTAAAATGTCAAATTATAATTTGAAGCCATTTGTCAGTCAAGAAAGATTAAAGGTAAAGTTTATAAAAAGTTTAAATGTTTTAGTTTAGAAATTCTGAGATGGATGTATTTCTAAATATTTTCTAGTCTGTCAAATTCATAATCCTACTTTCAAGTTTATATTCCGATGAACTTGAAAGGTCTAATAAATATCCTATAATATTAAAAATGCAACCTTTAATAGTAGATACCTATTTTGTTTGAAATATTTCTTTTCAAACATTATATATTAGTAATAATATACAAGTCAACTGTTGTGAATTTTAGTTCCATAACTAAACTTTACCCCTTGCCCCTATCCCTGTAAGAAGTAGCTTACAGGGATAATAAAAATAGAAGTAGTAAATAAACTTATGAAAGTAGGTAAAAGCAGATTATAAACACCATACATTTGGAGTGTTCACTAGGTAGAAGTCAAGGCAAAAAAGGAAAATATGTTTCATAACTCATTCCCAAAAAGATATTCACATGGTCCTGAAATTAAATTCTAAAAGTGTTTTCTGACATGAGACTTTTAGAGTTCATTGAGGAAATATAATGGCTAAGTCCTCAACAATATTTTATGATAAATACAAAGTCAATATTTATAGGGCCGTTTTCTATAATAATCCCTTGATAAAAGCTGAAGGTATAATAATGTCCAACTTAGTGTAGGTGATTTTGCCAGGGAAAAAAGCTAACATGGTCCATGTATTTGGCCTTTTAGGAATCACTGGAAAACAGTAAGAATATCTAGTTCTGCCATGGACAACAGATGTGTAGATGATCTTCTTCAGATACCTCTTCTCTCAGTTTAGGCTCTTGATTGCACAATTTTCAAAGATATACTCTTTGAGGATAGCCCTGGTGTTCCATGTTGATCCCTTTGGAAATCAGATTTTTTTTTTTTTGAGACAGAGTCTCACTTTGTTACCCGGGCTAGAGTGAGTGCCGTGGCATCAGCCTAGCTCACAGCAACCTCAAACTCCTGGGCTCAAGCAATCCAACTGCCTTAGCCTCCCGAGTAGCTGGGACTATAGAGGCATGCGCCACCATGCCCAGTTAATTTTTTCTATATATATTAGTTGGCCAATTAATTTCTTTCTATTTATAGTAGAGACGGGGTCTCGCTCTTGCTCAGGCTGGTTTCAAACTCCTGACCTCATGCATTTCGCCCACCTCTGCCTCCCAGAGTGCTAGGATTGCAGGTGTGAGCCACCATGCCTGGCCTTTTTTTTTAGTTTTTTTAAAAAAAATTTTTTTTTTGAGGTAAGGTCTTGCTCTGTTCCCCAGGCTAGAGGGCAGTGTGTAATCACAGTTCATCATAATGATCTCTTGGGCTCAAATGATCCTCCTGCCTCAGCCTCCTGAGTAGCTTGGACTACAGATGCATGTGCCACCATGTCTAGCTAATTTATTTTTTTGTAGAGATAGGATCTCACTATGTTGCCCAAGCTTGTCTCAAATTCCTGGGCTCAAGTGATTCTACCACCTTGGCCTCCTAAAGTGTGAGATTACAGGGATGAGCCACGGTGCCTGCCCTTGGCACGATTGATTAAATCATTGACCATGTGAACAACTTAACCTTCAGCCTATCTTCCCTCCCCAGAGATTGGGGGTGGGGCTGAAAGTTCCAGGCCTCTGTTCTTGAGGTTGACTCCCCTAGCAACCAGGTCCTATTCTTAGGCTAACCTGGAGTCCACCAAGAGTCTCAGAACGAAAGATGCTTCTATCACTCAGGAAATTCCAAGGGATTTAGGAGGACCTTGCCTATTTTAACTGTTTTTCAGTGGCATTCAAATATATTAACATTGTTGTGTAACCATTGCCACCATTCAGCTCCAGAATTTTTTCATCTTCCCAAATAGACTCTGCACCGTTCAATAAAACTTCCCATTCCTCCTTCCCTCCAGACCCCATGGTATGTTGTTTAATGGCACAGTTCCCTGAGAAGTAGATGATATTATTCTCATTTAAGAGGTAAGGAAGGCCAGGTGAAGTGGCTCACATCTGTAATCCTAGCACTCTGGGAGCCCAAGACAGGAGAATTGTTTGAGCTCAGGAGTTCGAGTCCAGCCTGAGCAAGAGTGAGACCCCGTATCTACTAAAAATAGAAAGAAATTAGCCAAACAACTAAAAATATATAGAAAAAATTAGCGGGCATGGTGGTGCATACCTAGTCCCAGCTACTTGGGAGGCTGAGGCAGAAGGATCTCTTGAGGCCAGGAGTTTGAGATTGCTGTGAGCTAGGCTCATGCCATGGCACTCTAGCCCAGGCAACAGAGTGAGAATCAGTCTCAAAAAAAAAAGGAAAACGAAGCTCAGAACACTCATCCAAAGTTGTAAAGTTAGTATACAGATAAATGAGGATTCAAGTCCGGGTGTTCCTGGCTCTAAAGCAGAGTTTGCATGGTTCATAGGCCACCTTTGGGCTGCAGATATGTTCTGCTGGGTCTGCATAGTTTTTCAAGTAATGTGGTGCAGAGGGGCAGCCATGCCTATGGCACGGTGGTGCTCTCAGTTCTCTCACCTGAACTGCTGCCCTGGCTCTGAAGGCCTTGTGCATCCCACTGTGCTGTTCTGCCTGACTCACTTGTCCTAAGGGTCTCCTGAAGAAGGGGACAACCTTCAGACTGGTTTAGGAATGAGCCTTGGTTCAGTTACCTCTTTTACTGGAAGTGTATCAATGAATGTATTGTTGACTCAGCTGGATTCCACGTTCAATTTTAGGATATCCATCACAGAGGAGCAAGAAGACCTTAGGGCAGAAACTCTTGGGTATGCTCCCTTCAGAAAACAGTTCCAAGCGGACAGAAGACCAGGATAACCCTCAAGAAGTCTTTAAGATGTTAATAGATTTGGTTAGTATGCTTTGCTTTCTTCTTATTGCAGGTTGTGGTCAAGCTAATCTGTTTGCTTCCTATTAATTCACCTCTTTTTCTCTCCATACTTGTACTTGCCTTTTATGCCCCTTTCTCATGTACTTGCCTCTTATGCCCTTTTATGCCCTTGGGGTACAGTACTTGAAATTCTTGATCTTTATGCCCTTAAACTCCCCAAATGCTCTTTCCTTCTATTCATGTTCTGTACAGGGTTAAAGCTCAACCTCTGAAAAGGGAGGGCTCCTGGGACTAATCAGCTCTGTCATCTGCATTTATATATGCAGTTTGTGACAAGACTGTTTATTCAGCATTTTTAAAGTGTTCAAGGCACTTCCTCACATATTATGTCCTCACACATTATGTCCTTTAATCATTACCACAACCTTGAAATCAGTCCTGTCATTCACACTCCACAGATGACTAAACTAAGTCACTGAGAGACTCAGGTTATATGAACATATCTCTAAAGAGTGTTAGTTACTTGCATGTAAATGTATAGAAACAATTTATAACTCAAACATTCCTTTAGAAATAAGTACCTGTTGTTATTATATATATAGATACATATACACCCCCATATATAATTTTTTTCCTCCTTTCTCTCTAAATGACTTATAAAATTTTCAGTGAAAGGAATGCTGTCTTTTGTTCTTTTTAAAAAGAATCCTCAATAACATGTAGCATAATGCTTGGGGATCAGGTGACACCTAATTAATTTATCATATTGATTGACTTGAAAGATTTAGGGTTGAACATTTGATAAAATAACTACAGTACTTATTTCTCTGAATATATTCTGTGATTTATCTAACTGGTACATTTTTAATTTCTGTGCATGCAGTTGAATGATAAAGAAGAAGCTTTGGCACATCAGAGAAAAGTTAGTTACATGCTTGCTCAGGCCTTGGAAGACAAAAACACTGTCTCAAAAGAGAGCGAAGAAAAAAATCCTATGAAAGAGAATTTTCCATTCAAAAACCCCTGGCATAAAACTTCAGAATTTTCTGTTTTGCATGATCCTGTACATTCAAGTGTCCAAACTTTTAATTCCGTGGGCTGCATTTGTTCAATCCAGCACCCTCAAACAGATCCAAACTACACAAGAACTCTTAAAAGATCTCATTCTTTGCCATCAAGTATCATATTTTGAAGACAAACCGGTTGAAATTAGAATTGAGAGCTGTTTATATCAAGAGACTTTGAAAAAGGGTTGTGTAAATGTTGCTACATTTTGAGAAGTTGTATATTTTCCAGGCATTTCTTTTAGGAGGCAGCTTAAATCAAACATTTTCTACAAGAAATTATTTAGTATTCTGTGTTGACACATTTATACTACAGATTATGAAGTTTTCAGTGTTTGCCAACATCTTAAAAACCAACAAAATTATTTTGGGGGAAAGCAAAACAATTAACTATTTATTTAGATAGGGATCTTAGATTGACTGCATCAGCAATTTAACAATGTATCTTTTTTTTTTTTGAGACAGAGTCTTACTCTGTTCCCTGGGTTAGAGTGCCATGGCATCAGCCTAGCTCACAGCAACCTCAAACTCCTGGAGTCAAGCAATCCTCCTGCCTCAGTCTCCTGAGTAGCTGGAACTACAGGCATGCACCACCGTGCCCAGCTAATTTTTTCTATATATTTTTAGTTGTCCAGATAATTTTTCTATTTTTTAGTAGAGATGGGGTCTTGCTTTTGCTCAGGCTGGTCTCGAACTCCTGACCTTGAGCAATCCTACTGCCTCGGCTTCCCAGATTACTAGGATTACAGGTGTGAGCCACTATGCCCGGCCCTCAAAAGCCTTCTTCTGAATCATCCAGATAATTTTCTAGGAGGAATGTTCAAGCTTAACACAAAATTTGATGCAGATTCGTTGTTCTACTCAGTCATTTTGAATGCCATGGCTACACAGTACATGTGCTCACTCAGCGGCATCTAGCAACCTACTGACTAGTACAGTGAAGTCGGCATTGTTCATGCATGTGCATCCCAGTCTACTCTCCTTGGCTGCCAGGTTACATTCATGTCACACAAACTGTGCTCATTATATTAACAATGGCTGGATACTTTCCAGATAGACCTCATAATTATCTTGTTTTAGTTGCCTGTTTTGGGATTTTTCATTTACCATATAAAGTTTAAAAATAACAATTTCCTTAAGTTAACTTCAATTAGAAATTTGTGATGGTGGGAATTCATAGCTTCTTTTTTTGTCAGAGTGGCAAGATTTAATAGTCAAATCTGGATCGATTTGTAGCCAGATCTACTCAATAGCTCTCCCTCCGATTGCATCCTTTGAGGTGGATGTGATGGGCCAGGAAATGGTGTCTCAGTGATCTCAAGAAGCTGCCTGAGCCAAGGTGAATTCTAGGGTTATGCTTTGACCTGCTATGTGATTTTATATAAATCAAGATCTGGATGTCAGAGTAAAGTTTATTGGGGTCACTGGAAAATAATATAAACACTACAGTTTTCTAGTCATGAGATATTTTTATTAATAATCCCTTGTTTGTTACAAAACATTGAGAATTAAAGACAGAATACTTTTAAAGAACACAAAGCTGGCTGGGTGCTATAGCTCATGCCCATAATCCTAGCACTTTGGGAGACTGAGGTGGGAGGATTGCTTGAGCTCGGGTTCGAGGTTGCAGTGAACTATGAAGACACCACTGCAGTCTATCCCAGGCAACAAATCAAGTTCCTATCTCAAAACAACAAACACAATCCCACAAAGCTAAAAGCTCTTATTCCATGACATAATCTAGAGTAACTCAGAAATTTTCACTGTGGGATGTAGGTTATGGACATCTTCATCTTATTTGCAGTGATTGGCCAGTTAAAGAGAACTGGCCTAACTTACATTAAGCCAGTTAAAGAGAAATTGAATAATCATGTGAATGTATTTATGTAACTGACCTTTAAGGCAGTAGCATATGGTCTTGGATAACAATATAATTTGGAGGAATCAAGAAATTGAGGTGTCTTTATAGATTTCCCCTGAATTCAGAACAAGTATTTGATATTTCAATAAATTTCCTATTTTACATTATATAATCAGTCTTGCTTAATAACTATTGAGCATCTGTTTCACAAGAATTAGGAAAAGAGTTGTTTGGAAAATTACATATTTCCCAAATTTTTGATTATGGTGCTCCCCCCCCCACGAGCATGTTCCCATCTTGCTGAACTAATAGTAGAAAATATTGCTCTGAAGCCATACTCATTTCCATTTATTAGTCTCATCCTTTAAAAATCATGTTAAGTGTCACAAAGCCACTGTATGAGGATTTTCATTGTAGTATTACTTGTATAAGTAAAAAATGGGAAGAATCTAAATGTCTGCCCATCGGGAAATAATAATTATTTTATTTCAGTATGTTAGGGGGGTATAAATGTTTAGGTTACATATATATTGCCTTTGCCCCACCTGAGTCTGAGCTTCAAGCGTGTTCATCCTCCAGATGGTGCATACCACACCCATTAGGGGTGAATCCTCTCCTCCCCCCGCCACCTGCCCAACACCGGATGAATGTTACTACTGTATGTGCACATAAGTGTTGATCAGTTAATACCAATTTGATGGTGAGTACATGTGGTGCTTGTTTTTCCACTCTTGGGATACTTCACTTAGTAGAATATCCAGGCTCTATCCAGGATAATACAAGAGGTGCTAGATCACCACTGTTTTTTGTGGCTGAGAGAACTTCATGGTATACATATACCACATTTTATTAATCTACTCATATTGATGGGCATTTGGGTTATTTCCACATCTTTGCAATTGTGAATTGTGCTGCCATAAACATTCCAGTTCAGACGTTTTTTGTAGAATGTCTTTTTTTCCTTTGGGTAGATGCCCAGTAATGGGATTGCTGGACCAAATGGTAGTTCTACTTGTAGCTCTTTGAGATATCGCCATGTTACTTTCCACAGAGGTTGTATAGTTTGTAGTCCACAGGAAAATAATTAGGTCAGTAACGTGTAGCATCCATGCTATCAAACCTGTGCAGCTATTACAAACAGAAGTGTATCTATACGTATATCCATGGAAGAGCTCCACAAATGAAAAATGAGTAGAATGCATCTACACTGTTATTTAGAGAAGAAACTCTTTTTTTTTTTTTTGAGACAGAGTCTCACTTTGTTACCCAGGCTGGAGTGAGTGCCATGGTGTCAGCCTAGCTCACAGCAACCTCAAACTCCTGGGCTCAAGCGATTCTGCTGCCTCAGGCTCCCAAGTAGCTGGGACTACAGGCATGCACCACCATGCCCGGCTAATTTTTTTCTATATATATTAGTTGGCCAATTAATTTCTTTCTGTTTATAGTAGAGACGGTGTCTCGCTCTTGCTTAGGCTGGTTTCGAACTCCTGACCTTGAGCAATCTGCCCACCTTGGCCTCCTAGAGAGCTAGGATTACAGGCGTGAGCCACCGCGCCCGGCCTATAGAAGAAACTCTTGTGTTGATACATAACATCACCATGACTTGTACAGAGGAAAGTAAGACTAGTCACCAAACTTATAAAGGTGGTTATTTCTAGTGGGAAGTGTAATAGGAGGGTAGAAAGGCATGAAAGGGAACACATGAACTCTTGTAGCTGGGACTACAGGCATGTGCCACCATACCTGGTTAAATTTTCTATTTTTTGTAGAGATGGGTTCTTGTCCTTGCTTAGGCTGGTCTCAGACTATCACCCTCTGAAAGTGCTAGGATTACAGGCGTGAACCACCAATGCCTGGCCTGAAAGCTCAAATTTTATCAGTAACACTGTCAGTTGTTTTCAAGTAGCAGGCTCACTTTGTACTTTCAAGAAAAATTCTGCCAATTACAGACATCTGAATAACCATGCCTTCTGTCAGATGTTCTTTCAACTAAAAATGGTATTACATGAAAAAGCAGGTAGGCCAGCTCCGAAGTCTATTACACCAGGGTTTTTCTTTGAGATTACTGTACTTCAGTATCCAGAAGCTCTGTGCTACTTCCCTGTTTTCAGAGACAGTATTAAAAAGATGTTTACTAAAGAAGTTCAAATTTAATAAAATCAATTATTTGAACTGATTAGGATTTTTTTTTTAAGGGACAAGGTCTAGCTCCGTTGCCCAGGCTACAGTGCTGTGGCATGATCATAGCTCACTGTAGCCTTGAACTCCTGGCCTCCCATGTGGCCTCCCAAACTGCTGGGACTGCAGGCATGAGCCACCACGTGTGTCCTGAACTGCTTAAGGAAGGACATTCTTAAATAAAAATGGTGTTTCACAAACCTTGAGGGCATGACAGTGATGAATGCCCTACTACTACTAGTACTGTGTGGTGCTGAGGTCCTAGCAGTTTTACTTAAAATTGCTTTTGCACCTTCAGTGCATATATTAGCACAGCTACAAAGGCAATTAGCATTTTATTACTCTTATGGAAATATTTCTGACCTTGTGGACCTCCTCAAAGAGTCCTAGGACTCTGGAGATCCATGGACCACATTTTGAGAACTGCTATTAGGGAATAGGTTCAAAAAGCTGAATGGTGCTCACTTCAGCAGCACATATACTAAAATTGGAATGATACAGATAATGGCATGGCCCCTGCGCAAGGATGACACACAAATTCATGAAGCGTTCCATATTAAAAAAAAAAAAGCTGAATGTACAACAAGCCATTCTCATAGACACAGTAGCTGTTGCATTTTTTGAATAGTCATAAAAAAGTATAACATAAAATTTACTGTAACCATTAAAATAACCATTTTAAGCACACAGCTAGCTCAGTAACATTTATGTATGTTCACATTATCATGCAAACAATCTCCAGTACTTTTCATCTTGGAAAACTGAAACTCTATCCATTAAACAACTCCCCCTATTTCTACCTCCCCAACATCCCCTAGTAACCACCATTCTACTTTCTATGAGTTGACTACTCTAAATAGCGCGTTAAGTGGAATCATTATTTGTCATTTTGTGACTTATTTCACTTACCATAATGTCCTCAGGGTTCATCCATATTGTAGCATAATGTTAGAAGTCCCACATTCTGTTTATCCATTCATCCCTCACTGATGGACTCTTGCTTGGGTTTCTTCTACCTCTTGGCTGTTGTGAATAATGGTGCTATACACATGTGTGCAAATATCTCCTTGAGATCCTGCTTGTGTACATTTAGGTATATATCCAGAAGTGGAATTGCTGGACCACATAGCAATTCCATTTTTAATTTTTTTAGGCCACTTTTTCCCATAGTGGTTGCACCATTTTAATATTCCCACCAACAGTACACAGGGTTCCAATTTCTCTACATCTTCCAACACTTGTTTATTTGTTGTGGATAGTAGCCACCCTAATGGATACAAGGCATTCTCTCATTGTGATTCTGACTTGCATTTCTCTACTAATGATTAGTGATGTTGAGCACTTTTCCTTATGCTTGCTGGCCATTTTTGGTGAAATGTCTATTCAAGTCCTTTGCTCTCTTTTTTTTGTGATAGGGTCTTGCTCTGTTGCCTGGGCTAGAGTATAGTGTTGTCATCATAGCTCACTGTAACTTCAAACTTCTGGGCTCCAGCAATCCTCCTGCCTCAGCCTCACAAGCATCTGGCATCATAGGTATGCACCACCATGCTTGGCTAATTTTTTATTTGTTGTAGAGAAAGGGTCTCACTATGTTGCCCAGGCTGACTACTAATATTTTTCTATTTTTAAATACCACCAAGGCCGGGTGCTGTAGCTCATACCTATAATGCCAGCATTTTTGGGAGGCCGAGGCAGAAGGATTGTTTGAGTTCAGGAATTTGAGACCAGCCTAAGCAACATAGTGAAACCACCGTCTTCGCGAAAAATTAAAAACTTATCCAGGCCGGGCGCGGTGGCTCACGCCTGTAATCCTAGCTCTCTGGGAGGCCAAGGCGGTCGGATTGCTCGAGGTCAGAAGTTCGAAACCAGCCTGAGCAAGAGCGAGACCGCTGTCTCTACTATAAATAGAAAACTAATTGGCCAACTAATATATTAGAAAAATTAGCCGGCATGGTGGCTCATGCCTGTAGTCCAGCTACTTGGGAGGCTGAGACAGAAGGATCGCTTGAGCCCAGGAGTTTTGAGGTAGCTGTGAGCTAGGCTGAGCCACGGCACTCACTCTAGCCTGGCAACAAAGCGAGACTCTGTCCCAAAAAAAAAAAAAAAAAAAACTTATCCAGACATGGTGGCATGTGCATCTGTAGTCCAAGCTTCTCAGGAAGATTGCCTGAGCCTCGGAGTTGGAGGTTGCGGTGAGCTATGATCACGCCACTATACTCCAGCCTGGATGACACAGTGAGACACTATCTCTTTTAAAAAAAACCAAAACAAATAAACAAACAACCGAAAAACCTCCCATGATACTACAAATTTGTGATGCTGTATTCACCAGATCTTCAAAATAACTAATAATTATTTTGATTAGGGTTCCACTAATGCATTTTCAATTCTACATTTAAAAAGAATTGAACTTGGGGGATGGACACGCTTGAAGCTCTTACTCAAGGGGGGAGGGAGGCATGGGCAATATATGTAACTTTAACACTTGTACCCCCATAATACGCTAAAAAAAAAAAGAAAAAAAAGAATTGAACTTGTCTCCCTTTTGTATTCTAATCAGAAAAACCAGAATTAAATTTTATTTTAAAATACATTTAATAAAAATAACCACAGTTTTACATATTTTACATGTGTAGAATATTTACAAATACCTTTTACAGCATTTACTTAATGTTTATTATTTTTCCATTATTTGCCTTTTGTACTATTTTCTTCAGTAGTAAAATATTTTCCAGTGTTCTTTTTTACTAAAAAATTAGCTTCTTGGGCAATCCTCCTAGAAAGCAAAAAAAAATAAAAAGGTTGTTCACATTTAACAATGTGCATATTCTTACAGCAAATTTTAACCAGTCACTGATCCCATCATTTCACTAAGATTTTTCCATTAGCACTTAAACAATAAGCATACAAGGTACAGAAGAAATTTATGAAGGGAGAAGGTAAACATCAATGGTTCTCATAACTCTGATGTATACTTAAATGTGCCAGAAGTAATCTCAATGAAAGCAAATATAGCTAAAATAGCATATTCTACTTTATACAATTTAAATTTATAAAAAGTAAATAGCTCACAAGCTACATTCCTTAGCTGCCCTTCAGTCACTAACTATATATGAGCTATTTGCAGTTTTCTGAATTTGTTTCATTTCTTATAAAAAAGGGAATTTTACCTTGTTCCAAGGCCTCCGTTCTTTTCCGTTTTGTTGCCATAGCTGGATGTGACTGCTCCTTTAAGGTTTCCACGGGACAATTTGGTCTTGGCAGTTGACATCCAGGTGTTGGCCCTGGCCGATTACTGAAATACTTAGTTTTCAATGCCTTTTAAAAGATACCAAAGAAAGGTTTTTAAGTGAGTATCTGAAATGTGTGAAGGATAACCTAACTTCCAAAGTTGCCAGGAGCATTAAAAAGATTATGTGAACACCTCATTTCCCAAAACAAAACAAAATTAATATGGACATGTAAAGTATTACAAATAAACACCCAGGATCCTAAGATTGGTTGATAATTCCATTACTATAAGATAAAGAGACCTCCTTCTAAGTTTTCCACAATTAAACAGCCTATATAGGTTGAGTATCTCTTATCCAAAATGCTTGGACCAGAAATATTTCAGATTTTGGAAAATTTGCATATATACAATGACGTATCTTGGGGATGGGACCCAAGTCAAAACAAGAAATTCCTTTATGTTTTATATATACCTTACATACATAGCCTGAAGGTAATTTTTATACAATATTTTTAATAATCTTCTCCATGAAACAAAGTTTGTGTTAAGTCCTTATCTGTGGAATTTTCCACTTGTAGTGTCACATCGGCACTCAAAAAAGTTTCAGACTTTGAGGCATTTTGGATTTCAGAGTTTTGGATTATGGATGCTCAACTAGTACTAATTATGAACTATCCTTTGTAAGCTATTGTACATTTCAGTTTTCTATACATTGAGCTTTATAGTTCAAAATGCAAAGAGAGAAACTTACTCACAATATCTGTATATGTTCAAATTTCAAATCATGTAAATATTCTCTAAGAAAAGACTTTTTTAAACAGATACCACAGGTTGGAACCAATAGAATATAATTCAATAATCCACTGCAAATGAATACAAATTTTACTTGGAAAGACTTACCCAAGGTTATTTCTATTAACTACCAGTGCAATGTTCTATAATATATTTTCTTGACTTGGGTGCACAATTCCAGTAAAAATAGTTTCATCCTAAATGACAAGTTTCTCAAGCCATATTTATCTATTTATATTAGTAGCCTAGTAATGTTCAAAAGCCACAACAATTTAAGATACTTCCTTTAGAATAATCATTTTAGGAAGAAAAAGAAGTCCATGCAAACTTTTGAAGCATTTCCCCTCCAACATTATATTATTAGTACTTGCAGTAATGATTAAGAGATTCCTTACTTCAACAGTTGCATATCTAAAGAATTACTTCAAAATCATAGCAATTCCACAAGTAACTTAAGCTAATTCTGGGTTACATAGAGATCCAAGAAAGTATCCCATTCCAACTTTAATACAGATGTCTGCAAAATGTTGTTTTTTAAAATCATATCTATAGGTCTTAACATTTTTATGTTGGATTGTATTTCTCCCTTATTTTATTAGAGCAGATATTTTTAGTCTTCCAAATTTTTCTTGAGTTTATTATTTCCTTAAACAATTGTCAGTTTCAGTTTTTGTTTTACTTAGAATATCTCAATTTCTTGTAAATGTACAATTGTACCCAACCATATCATTTTCTCCCCATTACCACTTTCAAAATGTGACAATGACCAGCATGGATTATCTGGATTACATTTAATGGAATGAAAAGAAATAAGAAACCAAACAAACCAATTTCAGCATTAGGCATGCCACAAAGATTTAAATATGTATGAATTCAACTTAGTCCGGGTGCATTGGCTCACACCCATAATCCCAGCACTTTGTGAGGCTGAGGCAGGAGGATCACTCGGGGCCAGGAGTTTGAGGCCAGCCTGGGCAAGACTTCATCTCTATGAAAATTTTAAAATACTAGCCAGGCATGGTGGCATGCACCTGTAGTTCCTGCTACTTGGGAGGCTGAGGTGGGAGGATTGCTTGAGCCCAGGAATTCGAGACTGTATCAAGCTATAATCATGCCACTGTGCTCCAGCCTGGGCAACATAGACTCTGTGTCAAACAAACAAATAAAAAAAGAGTTCAACTGAAATATGCCAGTTTTTTAACAAATAAAAAGCCTTGTTTTTTTTCCTCTCTAGGGAAACTGCTTAAAAGTGACTTATATGAAACAGGTATGTATTTGTATGTTCCCAAGCAAGTATAACTCTCCTATAGTTGTGTATGTATATAATTTAATAGTGTTTGTGGCTTGGGGAAGGGATACAAAGTGCGTTATTCCTTAAAACAAAACCACATATTTCCAGCATTTAAAGAATATTGTTAGTTCTATAAAATTCTATTTATATCAATGCTACAGCCAAAATTATCCTTATATTTCCTAATATTAAAAAGATATGTTAAAAATACCTGTGTGGCTGTAATTCGAGTACACGGATTGAATAAGAAGAAGCCTTGTATGAGATCTAGCAAGTCATCTCCTGCTGCAATGAAGATGTGTTGCAATGGGATTCCAGGGAAACTCTTAAATGTCACATAATCTGGAAGACTGCACATGTCCTGTCAAAATATTTTTATAATTCAGATTTAAAGACTGAAAGGCACATAGCTCTCCAATGAAAGAAAACTATTATTTGCAGGTGACATGATAAGTCTACACAGAATACCCCAAGAAATCTATTTAAAAAACTCCCAGAAGCTGGGTGCAGTGGCTCACACCTGTAATCCTAGCATTCGGGCAGGCTGAGGTGGGAGGATTGCTTGAGCTCCAGGAGTTCGAGACCAGCCTGAGCAAGAGCGAGACCCATCTCTATTATAAATAGAAAGAAATTAGCCAAACAACTAAAAATAGAAAAAATTAGCTGGGCACCATGGTGCATGCCTGTAGTCCCAGCTATCTGGGAGGCTGAGGCAGTAGGATTGCTTGAGCCCAGGAGTTTGAGGTTGCTATGAGCTAGGCTGTCACCACAGCACTCTAGCTGAGATAAGAGAGTGAGACTCTGCCTCCAAAAAAAAAAAAAAAAACTCTCAGAACTAGTAAGGCAAGGCTGAAAGATTTAAGACAAACATTAAAAAAATCAATTATAATTCTATATAACAGCAATGAATATGTGGACATCCAAATTAAAAACATAGGCTGGGCATGGTGGCTCATGCCTATAATCCTAGCACTTTGGAAAGCCCAGGAATTCAAGACCAGCCTGAGCAACATAGTAAGAACCCTCTCTCCAAAAAATAAAAAAATTAGCTGGGCATGGTGGTATGCACATTAAGTCCCGGCTACTCTGGAGGCTTAGTCAGGAGGATCACTTGAGCCCAGGAGTTTGAGGCTATAGTGAGCTATCATGAAGTCACTGTTCTCTAGCCTGGGCAACAGAGCTTCTTGAAAACAATAAAAAACAAAAAAACCTGAACCCTGCCCCTAAGTCTCACATATATAAAAATGAACCCTAAATGGATCTTGGACTTAAATGTTAAACATAAAACTACAAAATTTTTAGGAAAAAAAATACAAGAAAATTGTCAGGAAAATATTTGGGCTGGACAAAAGAGTTCTTTGACTTTGAAACATTAAAGGAAAAATTGATAAAGTAAACCTGGTGTTAAAACTAAAAACTCTGGAAGACTCAGAGTAATGAAAAGGCAGCATGAGAGAAAATATCTGTAAACTACATATATGACAAAAGACCACTAGTTATTAATATATAGAATAGATATAAAAAGAGCTCTCCATATTCAGACAAAAAATAAACCATTCATTTAGAAGAGACATTTCAATAAAGGTGTACAGATGGCAAAGAAGCACATGAAAAGATATTCAACACCATTAGCCATTAGGGAACTGAAAATTAAAATCACAATAAGCTATCACTATATACACCAATCAAGATAGCTAAAATAAAAAAATGACAACACCAAATGCAGGAGAGGATTCAGAGAAACTCGATCCTCATTTACTGCTCGTGGGAATGTATAATGGTATAGCTGCTCTGGAAAACAGCCTGGTAGTTTACTTTAAAAATTAACATGTAACTAACATATGATTCAAGAACTGAAATGGGCATTTATTCCAGAGAAAGAAGACTTATTCCTACCCAAAAACCTGAACATGAATGTTTATAACAAATATCCCCAAATTAGAAATAACACAGACGTCCATCAGTGGGTGAATGGTTAAACTGTGGAATATATTCATATCACACTTATCATTTAAGAAAAAAAGAAGGCATTATTCACATGCAACAACCTGGATGAATTTCCATTTAACTATGCTGGGTGTGAAAAAAGTCTATTTCAGGCTGGGCAAGGTGGCTTATGCCTTTAATTACAGTGCTTTGGGAGGCTAAGGCAGGAGGACTGCTTGAGGCCAGGAGTTCGAGACCGGCCTGAACAATATTGTGAGACTCTGTCTCTCTAAAAAAAAAATTAAAAAATTAGCTGAGTGTGGTGGCATGGGCCAGTAGTTTCAACTACTGGGGAGAGTAGGGCTGAGACAGCAGGATCACTTGAGCTGAGGAGTTTGGGGCTGCAGTGAGCTATGACTGTGCCACTGTACCTCAGCCTGGGTGCGAGTAAGACCCCGTCTCTAAAAGAAACAAAAATAAAACAACAAAAAAAAACAGCCTGAGCAATATAGGGAGACCTTGTCTCTACAAATTAGCCGGGGCGTGGTGGTGTGCGGCAGTAGTCCCAGCTACTCAGGAGGCTGAGCCAAGAGGATCACTTGAGCCTGGGGGTTTGATGACACCCATGCACTCTAGCCTGGGCGACAGAGTGAGACCTTATCTCCAAAAAAAAGAAAAGTCAGCACAAAAGACTGAAAATAAAATTTTGTAATGAGTATATGATAATAAAATCTCTTGAATGTTCAATGTGACACCACTATATAAAGAATATGACAATTAGAATAACTTCATGGAATCATAACTGAATTCCAAAGAAAATGCATGAAGGCTTACAGGCCACTGTTCCTCAGTTGGTGTGCCCAAAGTTTCAAATATTCTTGTTAGCTGATCGAGATCTGAATCTCCTGGCAAAAAAGGAACCTGAAAGAAATTAAGAGGCAGCTTTTTAAAGGTGGCTTTTGATACTTGTTATACAAATACCATACACTTAATTAAAAGTAGTAAAGGCTCTAACATTAAAGAAAGAAAACTTTTAGCAAAAGGGCAAGTGCAAAGGCTGGGAGGAAGACAACACACCAATCTTTTTAAATTAATTAATTTATTTATTTATTTGAGACAGAGTCTTACTCTGTTGCCTGGGCTAGAGTGCCATGGTGTCAGCCCAGCTCACAGCAACCTCAAACTCCTGGGTTCAAGCAATCCTCCTGCCTCAGCCTCCTGAGTAGCTGGGACTATAGGCATGCGCCACCATGCCCGGCTAATTTTTTTCTATATATTTTTAGTTGACCAATTAATTTCTTTCTATTTTTAGTAGAGATGGGGTCTTGCTCTTGCTCAGGCTGGTTTCAAACTCCTGACCTCGAGCAATCCGCCCGCCTCGGCCTCCTATATATATTAGTTGGCCAATTAATTTCTTTCTATTTATAGTAGAGATGGGGTCTTGCTCTTGCTCAGGCTGGTTTCGAACTCCTGACCTCGAGCAATCCGCCTGCCTTGGCCTCCCAGAGTGCTAGGATTACAGGCGTGAGCCACCGCGCCCGGCTCTTGCCAATCTTATTTAAGCAATTTCTTAGCAGATTTGTTCTTTGAAAAGGTGTGCCAGCAAACTTTAAAAGAGGATAAATAATTACAAAGTTTAAAATTTTTGAACTGCTAAGAAATGATCAAAATCCCTGCTTATGCAGATATTATTTTCCAATTAATTCTTAGACATCTACGTAAATATATGGAAGATATACTCAGTGAATAATAGTGGCCTCCAGCACTGTTAAGGGCCTCGAAAAAGTTTACAGATTCACTGGGAAAACATGAAATGAAGTACCAAGTTTTCAACATTTTTATTATAGTGCACTACCAATAAACAAAGAAAAGAAAACCACCCCAGTGCCAGTCATCAATTTCTTTCTTTTCAGTTCCAAATTCAGCCTTTTTGCTTTCTCTGTGAAAATGGATCTGGGCCCTTTAAATATTTTTCCTTTGCCAACAGGCACTGAAATTTTGTCAACAGAAGATGCTGGAGAGACACTACAAGAAGGGAAAGGTTTTGCTTCCTGGTTCCCATTGTCTTGCTTAGCTGACTCCTGCAGCACCCACACGTTCTCTAGTGACCAGGCTCCTGTAGCAGGGGCAGAAGAGGCAGTTTCTCCAGTGCTGCTCCAGCAGTGAGGCCAGCAGGCTCCCTACTTGCCCCTCAGCAGTTTTCTAGCAGAGTGCTTCCAGAGAGGCATCTGTTCTGCAACAGCTTTCCTTAGCATCTTAGAGCACAATTACTATATTCCAGAAAGTAGGTTTCTAGCAAGTTCCACTAGCAAAGTTCCACAGTGACTACTCTGCCATCCAGTGAGCCACAACTGCCCTCTTCAACAAGATCTAGATCTTATCCCTGGGGAGCCTTCTTCTCCAAGTGATCAGTCTTGGCCCTAGCAGTAGTGGTGGCTGATCCTTATATCTGCTATTTCTATATTAGTTATCTCCTGGTATAGTTATTAATTCTTTATACTGTATTAAACTTTCCTGATCAAATTAATGTTTTTATTTTCTGAGTGGACTTAGTATAATACCTATTTATTAGAGATTATATAACACTATATCATTATGCATATTAAATGTACTAAAAAAATAGAAACCAAAAGGGGTATTAAATAACATTACAGATATTTTTGGACATGTTCACATTTTCTTCTTATACCCCAAAAGATTATCTTACTTTTGGATACCAGTATCTTCATTCTGCAGACCACCAATACAAATTATGGACAAGCTTCCAATTTAATCAGATTTTAAGGACAGACATGTAAAAAATTTAAATTAAACTGAGCTATCTAGCATGTGGATTTTAGATCCCAAATTGAACAACTCAACTTAAGACATTTATGAGAAAAACTGAGGAAATGTGAATATAGACTTAATGTTATTAAGAAATTATTTTTTTCAGATGACAATGGTATTGTGATTATGATAAAGAATTCTTATCCTTTAGAGAAAAATAAGTAACATTGATAAAATTATATGATGTTTGGAATTTGTGGCAAAAAATTTAGTGTGGGAGGGTACTGGTAAAATTGGCCATGTGTTAAAAACTACTGAAGCTAGTTGTTGGGTAAATGAAGGCACATTTTACTACTCTCTCTGCTTTTGCATTGAGAGTAAAAGTGAAAATATCCCTATGAATAAACTCTTTTTCCCCTAAAGGAAGAACTGCTTTAGAACTCAAACTTACACCATAAACTTATAATAAAAATTGGTCCTTTTTTAATGAAGTCATATTTGGGGAGAAGTAAAAAAAATTGAAAAAGAAAATATAAATAAAAAATTAAATATAAAAAAATTGGTCCTTTGACTTATCACCTCCCCCCATTTATAACTATAATTTTTGCTTAGTGTAGAACCATCTTCACATTAGTTTCCCTTCTTTTTGCAAATTCTTTTTTTTTGAGACAGAGTCTCACTCTGTTGCCCGGGCTAGAGTGCCATGGCGTCAGCCTAGCTCACAGCAACCTCAAACTCCTAGGCTCAAGCGATCCTCCAGCCTCAGCCTCCCGAGCAGCTGGGACTACAGGCATGCGCCACCATGCCTGGCTAATTTTTTTTTATATATTTTTAGTGGGCCAATTAATTTCTATTTTTTTTTTTCCGTAGAGACGGGGTCTTGCTCTTGCTCAGGCTGGTTTTGAACTCCTGACCTTGAGCGATCAAACCGTCTGGGCCTCCCAGAGTGCTAGGATTATAAGCACGAGTCACCACGCTCGGGCTAGTTTCCCTTCTTATATTAATATTATACAATTTGGCTTTCCTAGAAGTAATGACTTCCTCCTCTAATTCTTCTCACTCCGTCTTGGGCAACTTTGTACAAAGGCTGAGATTCCAGTTATCAATACCAATTTCTATATGATCAAATCTATCATAATCCATCAGTTCCTTTTTGTTTTTCCTGGAAACCACCCAGAGGGGCTGAAGCCTTCCTCCCACTTGCTCCAGCCTGCACTAGCCACTCTTTAGGCCTGATGCATGTATCTACTGTCTCAGAACTTTCCTTCACTATTAAACAGGGAATTCTATTCATCTCTTTCCTCTATTCACACTCATGTTCCCTGGATCCTATGTCTTTTTCTTGGTTACTCTTACATCTTAAAAGAGCACATCTTCCAATTACTTCCTAGGAAAGGAATTGGATATAAACTTTTTGTATAATTGTATTTATTCTCACAGCTAACTGAGAATATGAATAAACATAAAATTCTAGGTTGAAGAAACATTTTCTTTCATAATGTGAAGTCTCCCAGATTCCAATGCTGCTGCTGAGAAGGATGATGTCATTCTTTTCCCTAATCCTTTATTTTCTTTTCTATGTAAGCTGTTTTTCCTCTCTGTGGAAATAAAATCTTTTCCTTATCCCTTGGTACTCTGAAATTTCACAATAGTCTACCTTGGCAAGAGTCTTTTTTCATTTATGTAGGGTTCTTATGGTACTTTTTTAAAAAGTTTTTTAATTTTTAATGATACATAATAGTTGTACTCTTTATGTCACTTTTAATCTAGAAAGTCACATCTATCAATGCTGGGCTATTTTCTTAAGATTTCTCACTCTCCATTTTCTTTATTCTCTCTTGATATACTCTAGGATCAATCCTGAATCAATCTCCTAATTTTCTTATCTTTCCTCTACTACAGTCCATGTCTTTTTGTGTGCGTGTGTGGAGACAGGTCTTTCCATGTTGCCCAGGCTGGTCTCGAACTTCTGGGGCCAAAGTTATCCTTCCACCACAAGCCTCCCAAGTAGCTGGGACTATAAGGACATACTACCATGCCCACCCACCTCTTTATCTTTTTTTTTTTTGAGACAGAGTCTCGTTTTGTTGCCCAGGCTACAGTGAGTGCTGTGGCGTCAGCCTAGCTCACAGCAACATCAAACTCCTGGGCTCAAGCGATCCTATTGCCTCAGCCTCCCGAGTAGCTGGGACTACAGGCATGCCCCACCATGCCCGGACAATTTTTCTATATATATTAGTTGGCCAATTAATTTCTTTCTATTTATAGCAGAGACGGGGTCTCGCTCTTGCTCAGGCTGGTTTCAAACTCCTGACCTTGAGCAATCCGCCCGCCTTGGCCTCCCAGAGTGCTAGGATTACAGGCCTGAGCCACTGCGCCGGCCAATCTTTTGATTTTACTTAATGAAAAAGTTCTCCAGCTTACTTTTCAAATCCTTTCACTGTCTTTGCCTTTAGCGATCTCTTATTTTTAAAATTTCAAGTATCTCTTATTCTTTGTTCCTTAAAAAAAACAACACATTGTGTGCTTGTTTTATAGGTGCAATATAACCTCTTAAGTCCCTGAAGATTTGGACAGGGGTGATGGAAAATTTTCTTCTGCTCTCGTTGTTTCTGTTTTTTCTACGTTCCTTTTTAGTTTGTTTCAGTCTGTACTTCATGTTGGAAGTTTTCATCAAATATTTGAAGATCCTTAATAACTATCCTTAATAACTAGTTAACCATTCATATGGACAACATTAACCACCTTTTTAATTGGGCACAGGGACAGTTTGAAATAGAAAACCTTTCCTTAAAAAACTTTGTAGGACAAAAAATATGACACATCAGTATGATTCTTTAGCTAAGTAGGGTCTGCCTATCATTTTCCTCATAACCTTACTGATCATTCCAGAAACAATACCAATGGCTGATAAGGTTCCAACTATGATTTTTTTTTTTTTTTTTTTTGAGACAGAGTCTCGCTTTGTTGCCTAGGCTAGAGTGAGTGCCGTGGCGTCAGCCTAGCTCACAGCAACCTCAAACTCCTGGGCTCAAGCGATCCTTCTGTCTCAGCCTCCCAAGTAGCTGGGACTACAGGCGTGAGCCACCATGCCCGGCTAATTTTTTCTATATATATTAGTTGGCCAATTAGTTTCTTTCTATTTATAGTAGAGACGGGTCTCGCTCTTGCTCAGGCTGGTTTCGCGTCCCGACCTCGAGCAATCCGCCTGCCTCAGCCTCCCAGAGAGCTAGGATTACCCAACTATGATTTTGACCAGGTCCACAATCTGTAATCTGTCTACCTTCTCTTCCCTTACTTTCTGAATGGACGTGATCATCGTTAACATTAGGGGTTATGGAATTCTGTTTTTTTCCTGGCCATGAATGAATTTTGGAGGCTCAGAGATTCTCAGTGTGAATTACTGGTATACTCTGTTCTTGTGAGTAGCAGAGCTATCATACCAGCTGATTCACAGGACTTATTTTTAGCACTGGGATTACCATATCATGTTCAAGTTTGAACGTGTGGGTTTCTTCTGCAGGTACCCGTAGGGTATAATGCATCTCAAAATGATACATAGAATTTACATTCTTTTTTAAAAAAGAGACAGGGTCATGGCCAGGCACAGTGGCTTACACCTATAATCTTAGTAGTTTGGGAGGCAGAGGCAGGAGGATTGCTTAAGGTCAGGAGTTTGAGACCAGCTCAAGAAAGAGCGAGACTCTTTCTCTACAAAATAGAGGAAAATTAGCTTGGCTTGGTGGCAAGTGCCTGTAGCCCCAACTACTCTAGAGGCTACAGCAGGAGGATCACTTGAGCCCAGGAGTTTGAGGTTGTAGTGAGCTATGACGATGCCAAGGCACTCTAGCCAGGGGAACAAAAAAAAAAAAGAGAGAGAGAGACAGGGTCTTGCTATGTTACCCAGGATAGCCTTAAGCAATCCTCTTGACTCAGCCTCCCCCGTAGCTGGGACTACAGGTGTCAGCCACTATTGCTGACAGAAATTACAACTTAAACATCTTTATTTTAGTGTAACTTTTCTCTTTGGTATGCAGAAGTTATTTTCTGTGTTCAAGGAAATAAAAAAGCCATTCAATCTTGGGTTTGTATTTCTTTAAACACATAAGGCTTGAGGAGAGGGAGAGCAGGAACTGGGAGGTAGGGAGAAAAAAACTCCCAGCATCAGGAGGATTCCTCAATATTCCTTTACCTGTATCTTTCAGAAGGGAGGGTTAGTCTTTCTGGAGATCTAAACTGGATAGCTAAAAAGAAGTTTCCAAGTCAGTCTCCCGTGAGGGTAGGGAGGGGATATTTTACTATCAGATGGTCTCATTCAGAGAATTGCTATAGTACCACTATGTCTGTTCTGTTTGAGGGTCTCACACAAGGTTTAAAGTTACATAGAGGAGCAGCTGTGGTAGTTGGTATTATGTATCCCCCTAAAGTAAAAACAGCCCCAAACAAAAAACCTACCAGGATGACTAAATTTCATCCTAACAAATTTAGTTACTATAGAGATATTGCCATATTACAAATTAATTTCTATGTTCTGGAGTATAGCTATCTATGGTAAAATCCTTATTGTCCTAAATGGTAGGTTTTCTCATTTTACATTAGCACTAATTAAAAGTATTTTGCATTTGGGGGAAGCTTTTATTTTTTATTTTAAAGATTGTATTTTGGGGACAGGGTCTCACTTTGCTGCCTGGGTATGAGGGCAATGGGATGATCATAGCTCACTTCAACCTTAAACTCCTGGGCTCAAGTGATCCTCCTGCCTCTGCCTCCTGAGTAGCTCAGACTACAGGTACGTGCCACCATGCCTGGCTAATTTCTCTATTTTTTGCAGAGACAAGGTCTGGCTATGTTGCTCAGGCTGGTCTTAAACTCCTGACCTCAAACAATCCTCCCAACTTCATTTTTGAAAGTGTTAGGATTATAAGCATGAGCCATTGTGCCTGGCTGGAAGCTTTTTTAAAAATTGATCTATGTGTTGGTTATTTTTGTTGTAAGGGCAGTGACAGAAAGATAATTCTTACACAAATTATGAGAATAACTGGCTAGGCATGGTGGCTAATGGCTGTAATCCTAGCACTCTGGGAGGCCAAGGGAGGAGGACAGCTTGAGCCCAGGGGTTCATGATCATGGAGCCCCCATCTCTACTAAAAATAGAAAAGTGAGCTGGGTGTATTCGCACATGCCTGTAGTTCCTGCTACTCGGAAGGCTGAGCCAGGAGGATCACTTGAGCCCAGGAGTTTGAGGTTGCTGTGAGCTAGGCTGACAGCCATGGCATTCTAGCCCAGGTGACAGAGCAAGACTCAATCTCAAAAAATAAATAAATAAAATAAAAAAATTAAAATAGAGAATAACTGTTTTGAAGTGTGTACATTAGTTTAGACTTACCCTTAGAAGCAACTCCGCTAATATACAGCCAACAGCCCACATGTCTACACCTACACCATACATTCTAGCTCCAAATAGTAACTCAGGAGCCCGATACCACCTGAAGAACAAAAAGAAGTGTTATTTTAGAATGGAATTATTAAAGCTTTTCTCAGAGATAAACTATCATATCTGTTTTTAAAGCTAATCCCTCAACTTAAGCACTAGATACCATATTCTTCCCGAGTTTTAAGGATAATGCTCTTGCAATTCTCTCCTCTTTCTCCTACATCATCGGTCTTTTGTTTTCTACTAGACCTTTTCTATCAATGTACAAACATACTATTATTTCTCCAGCCTTAAAGTTCACTGGACCCCACTTCCCTCGACAGCTACTTCCTCATTCTTTGGTTAGTTCAAAGAATTGTCTATTCTCACTGTCTCCAATTCCTCTCCTTTTATTCTCTCTTAAAACCGTTTCAAGCAGGCCTACCACGCCACCAAACTAGTTACTACTGTCAAGCTTATCAGTGAGGTCCACGCTGCTAACCACACACTGTCAATTCTGAGTTCTCATCATAATTTGACTTATTTAGCAGCATTTGATTTGCAGACACGAGAAAAAAAAATATATAAGGTCATTAAATATGAAATGTCCAATTTCAAATCAAAAGTTTAGTTTATTATATCTCAAACAAGAAGCAGTACAATTAATCAAAGTATGTGCCTAAACTGTTGACAGTTTTGCCATTTTATTTTTTTTATTATTATTATTATTTTTTTGCTTATAGAAGCAAACAGCCAACATGAAAGTTTTGCCATTTTAACAGTTGCTTGCTGTACCTTTTGATATCCTCTGAGTCATACAAAAAAAAGAAAAAGAAAATAAAAAAAGAAAAAATAAATAAAAAACAACAGTAACAACAAAAAAAAACCAGTTGCTTGCTTATGCCAAAGATTAAGAAGCCTGGAGAGCAAATGGCAATGAAATCCCGAATGGCATTTTCCACAGCTTGTTGAGAGTTGACTATTTCTCCCTACAAGAAGTGGTCCAAAGCTGTAGTCAGTTGGTGCAAGGTCTGGTGAATACGGTGGATGACAGAAAGTTTCCAGGTCCAGCTTCTGTAGTTTGAGCAGCATTGTTTTTTGTTACATATGGTCTTATAAGAGAATTGGCCTATCTCTATTGACCAATTTCAGTTGCTTAATCACAAGCATCCTCATCATTTTGTCTAACTGGTCACAGTAGACAACTGCTGTAATTGATTGACCAGGTTTCATGAAGCCATAGTGGCTAATACCAGTGCTGGATCACCAAACAGACACCATTAGCTTTTTCTGATGAATACTTGGTTTTGGATTGTGTTTTAGCACTTCATCTTTATCCAACCACTGTGTCCAATACTTGTGATTGTCAAAAAGAATCCATTTTTCAAACAATACAGTGTAGAAATGGTTTGCCTTTATGTCGTGACAGCAAACAAAGGCAAACTTCGAGACAATTTCTCTTCTGACACTCATTCATGCAGTACCCATCCTTCCAGCTTCTTTACCTTGCCCATTTGTTTCACAAAGTACAATATTTTGGAATAGTAATGTCAAGTCTTACTGCTGATTCACCCGTAGAATGAGACAGATTCATTTCCACTACAGCTTTCAGCTCATCATTATGCACCTTGGTCTCAGGTCGCCCACATGGCTCATTTTCAAGATTACAATCACTAGAATGGAACTTCTCAAACCATTGATGTACCCTGGATTCATTAGTCACGTCCTTCCCAAACACTTCATTGATATTTCAAGCTGTCTGTGCTGCACTGGTTCCATGATGGAACTCATATTAAAAAATAACACAAATTTTTGACTTATCTACGGTTTCACAAAAATTGCTTTAAAAAAAAATTTGAAAGAGAATCACAAGCCAAAATGTGAGTTTGAAAGACTGAGGATGTATCTTCGTGATTAAACAACAACAAAAACCAACCAAGCAGTGTCAAAGTGAAATATCAGAGATAACAACTGTCAGACTTCATACTGAAGGATATTGGACATTCCATACTAAATAACCTAATACGAGAAATTGGCACATAAGAAAGCACCACTTAACAATGCTCTTGTATATGAATCCCTGTTTCTAAGAGTTCCTGAATGATGGGTTTAATTATTCTAGCAATCACATGAATAATTACTCACATCCCCTACTTCTACTTACAGCTAGGTAACTGACACTCAATGAGATCTGTATGGAAGAAGGTAATATAATAATTTAAAATAGAGTATCTGGAAAAATGTTTACAGAACCTTAAAAGAGTCTTAGAAATTAACAAATGCTGTCCTGACAAGAAATATAAAATCTATTGTCCATATCTATTTAATGTAATTTTCTGTTTTTATATGCCAAAAGTATAAACAGAAAATATAATTACTACTAATAATATGAAAAACTCAAATACCAAGACACTGCTTTGTTCAGAGAATTTTCACTCACAAAGAAGGATAAAGAATCAGAACTGACCAATATAATAAACATGAGGCCAATAAATCAGGTGATTAGGTAAAAGAATAGCCACTGATGTTCCAGCTTACTGAAATAAAAGGTGAAAGTTTAAATTACTCCTGAAAGTTACTAGGTAAATGTCTGAGGATTGAGTTAATTCAACTCTGTTTGGAAAAGTGCTGTTTTTTTTTTCATTGTAGTAAAATATACATAAAATAAAAAGGGCTATATTTTTTAGGAATATACTAACAATGATTTGTGAACTCTGCCAAGATATTTCAGAGAAGCCAGTTGATGCTCATTTGTGATCAATAGCCTACACAAACATAAACTTTCAGTTACTTAAGGGATTCTTACCTGGTTACAACCTGATGTGTATAAGCTCTATTGGGGCTCCCAAATGATTTGGCCAAGCCAAAATCTGCCAGTTTTAAAACTCCATTTTCATCTAGCAGCAAGTTGTTTGGTTTCAGATCCTGTATTATGGAAGTTTTAAACAAACAAATAAACGAGGTGGGGAACACCACAGCGCTACATTTAGTTGGCTTAACTTTAAGCTTAGCAAAAACAGAGTAACACCAACAACTAAAATTTAAACATCAATTTTTTTCCACTGATATAAAATCCCATAAAAGCAAAATAAGATTGGTTATACTATATTGTAAGAACTTGGGTAAGGTACTTAATTGCCTCAATTTATCCTACTTCATAAGGTTGTTATGAGGATTAAACCTAGTATTTTCTGTAAAGAGTCTAGTGTAATGCCTGGCTTATAGTAAGCACCCAATAAATGGTTACCACAATTAATTTAATAACAATAATATATATAAATATCAATAAATAAAAACATTATGCATTTAGAAATGATGAGGAAGATATCCTTCAAAATCTATGCTAAAAAGACATCAGCAATAACCTAGAAGGGATTCTAAATTTAAGAAATGACAATTACTAGTTACAAATTATATATTCTTAGCTATTTATCTAAATACAGCACCTAAGAACATCTATCTAGCTAAATTATCAGCCTTCTTCCAATAGCTGAATATTCCTAAAAATGATCTATTTCATAAATTTTATTTAATAACTTCACAGAATTTTAGCGCTACTAGAAACATTATTTTTCTAAAGGTTTTTTGGAATTGTATAAGTTAATCCAAGACTCTCACTGTATTTTTTTTTTTTTTTTTTTTTGAGACAGAGTCTCACTTTGTTGCCCAGGCTAGAGTGAGTGCCGTGGCGTCAGCCTGGCTCACAGCAACCTCAATCTCCGGGGCTCAGCGATCCTCCTGCCTCAGCCTCCTGAGTAGCTGGGACTACAGGCATGCACCACCATGCCCGGCTAATTTTTTGTATATATATTTTCAGTTGGTCAATTAATTTCTTTCTATTTTTGGTAGAGACGGGGTCTCACTCAGGCTGGTTTCGAACTCCTGACCTTGAGCAATCCGCCTGCCTCGGCCTCCCAAAGTGCTAGGATTACAGGCGTGAGCCACCACGCCCAGCTCTCACTGTATTTTTTCCCGTAACAACAGTATAGCACAAAGAATACTGAATGTAAAGCCAAAAGAACTAGATTATAATAATCTGTTGGTTATCAGCTGCTGACCTTGGAAAAGAATATAACCCTAGTCAGGTTACTTAGCAACTTAGCTCTTCATCTATGAAAAAAAATGAAGGATTGGATCTCTTCCAGTCCTAAGGTTCACAATTCAGAGGTCCTCAAATTATGGCCCGTGGGCCACATGCGGCCTGCCTAGGACATTTATCCGGCCCGCCGGGTGTTTTTGCCACCACTGCCTGTCCTGCTTAGCAGCCGACTCGTCCTGGGCCCACAGTGCGCATGTGGGGAATCTGCACCGCAGTCTTCAACGGTCTGAGGGACAGTGAACTGGCCCCCTGTTTAAAAAGTTTGAGAACTCCTGGTTCACATGGTAATTTGGAGTCCTCACAGCACCACCTGCTGGAACAACTGAAGGGAACACAAATAGGAAGGTGGGATAAAATGGTCTAGCTGTATCTTTATTTTATTCAACAATTTACATATCCAGACCATTATACTAAACTGGCTACGTGAAATTTGGCTAACATAAAGAAGCATTAATAAAAACCTTACCCTATGTAGGATCCAATGTTGATGTAAATATTCTAACCCTTGAAGAGTCATCAACATGTAGGCTTTGATGTGTGATGGTGTCAACACAAGACTATTATCCTTTATTATAACCTGTAACACAGGTACACAATATACAGATATACTTTATTTTTCCAATGAACTCTACCATATAAAACAATTTGTAGGCCAGGTATGGTGGTTCACACCTGTAATCCTAGCACTCTGGGAGGCAGAGGCAAGTGGATTGCTCAAGGTCAGGAGTTCGAAACCAGCTTGAGCAAGAGCGAGACCCCATTTCTACTAAAACTAGAAAGAAATCAATTGGCCAACTAAAATACTATTATGTATACTAGTAATACAAATTAGTTGGCATGGTGCGCATGCCTATAGTTCCCTAGCTACTCTAAGAGGCCTGAGGTAAGGTATTGCTTGAGCCAGGAGTTTTTGCTGTGAGTTAAGATGACGCCACAGCACTCTAGCCCAGGCAACAAAGTGAGACTCTGTCTCAAAAAATAAAACAATTTGTAGACCTAAAATTAACCTCTCAAGAGAGGTTACCTAACTCTCCTTAGGAAGTACTGTCAGAATTTCCAAGTTAGTGTAGTATGGGTGAAGAGCCAAAAAATCTTCTGGTTTGAAAAGTGAAGCTGCTTTGACTTGACATGAAATTATTATTTTTTAATTTTTATTTATTTTTTTGGACACAGAGTCTCACTCTGTTGCCTGGGCTAGAGTGCCGTGGCATCAGCCTAGCTCACAGCAACTTCACATTCAAAGGCTCAAGTAATCCTTCTGCCTCAGCCTCCCAAGTAGCTGGCACTACAGTCATGTGCCACCATGCCCAGCTAATTTTTTTCTATATATATTTAGTTGTCCAGTTAATTTCTTTCTATTTTTAGTAGAGACGGGGTCTTGTTTTTGCTCAGGCCTGTTTCAAACTCCTGACCTTGAGCAATCCTCCCTTCTCGGCCTCCCAGAGTGCTAGGATTACAGGCGTGAGCCACCGCACCCGGCCTTGACATGAAATGAAACACTTATTTTTGCCTGCCTCTTCTGACGATAGAAATTCAGTATTCCTTAGAATTCAGTATTCCTTTGGGAAACACTTCTTCCCAGCTCAGTCCACATGGCTGAAATAGGACAGACCCTACCGAGGCCTCCAAAGTTACACATGACCCAGGTATGGCCATTATCACACTGCAGTCTCCTGGCCAGGTGACTGGTTCAGGGATGTAGACATGATACAAGACAAGGCAATCAACCAAGTGAAATACTTGTGCTAAAATCAAAGGGAACAAAGCACTTTTTTTTCCCTCAGAAATTATTAAACTCAAAAGACATAAGCCTAGATGTGCCTGGACCACCACATTTGAGAAAATGCACCCATAAATGAAGTCAACAAAAAATACAGAGTTGAGTTAAAGCATAAGATTGAGGCTTTTTTTTTTTTTTTTGAGACAGAGTCTCACTCTGTTGCCCAGGCTTGAGTGCCGTGGATCAGCCTAGCTCACAGCAACCTCACTCTGGGCTCAAGTGATCCTCCTGCCTCAGCCTCCCGAGTAGCTGGGACTACAGCATGTGCCACCATGCCTGGCTAATTTTATATATATATATGTGTGTGTGTGTTTAGTTGTCCAGCTTATTTCTTTCTATTTTTTTTTTTTTCCAGTAGAGACAGGTCTCACTCTTGCTCAGGCTGGTCTTGAACTCCTGAGCTCAACCGATCCACCACCTCGGCCTCCCAGAGTGCTAGGATTACAGGCGTGAGCCACCATGCCCTGCCAAGATTGAGTTCTGATGGCAGTACTTGTGAGCTGTGCCTAAAGTCAGTTTATTTCTAGACTTATCAGTTATATGAACAAAAAATTCCCATTTTTTAAAAATCAGATTTAAGGGAAAATGTACCATTTTTAGTGTACAGTTCCATGAGTTTTGATAAATACATCTAGTCATGTAACCACCACTATAATCAAGACAGAGTTCTATAACCTCCCCAAATTCTGAAGCCTCTCTATGCTCAATCCTTCCCTTTACCCCTGGCAAACATTGATCTATATTCTTTAGTTTTGCCTATTTCAGAATATGGTATGTGCTGGTGGAATGATTAGAGGTTTTGGGGCCGAAATGATCTCAAGTTATTCTCAAACGTTAAATGGGTAAGAAGCCCAGCTTCCTGGCAGAATGATTGGAATATCATATGAATGGAACCACACAATGCATACTCTTTTGGACCTGACATTTTTCACTCAGTATAATGCATTTGAGAGTCATTAATATTGTTGCATTTATCAGTAGTTTGTTTCTTTTTATTTCTGAGTAGTATTCCATTGTATGGATGTACCATAGTTTATTTATACATTTACTACATCAAGGACATTTGGGTGTTTCCTTCTAGCAATTATGAATAAAGACCTGTGTACCAATTGGTTGGTGTGCTGGTATATGTTTTTATTTCTTTTGGATTAATACCTAGCAGTGAGTAATGCTAGATCAAATTACTGATTAGTGGTATTAAAGCTGGAAGGACTTATCACAATAGGCTATGGACTGAATCACAACACCAGTTTGTGCATGTAGCATGTTCCTTTCACTTTTGATAATATTCGGTATGAAATCTTTTTTACTTTTGATTTGGTTGGTGTGTATTTAACTGTATAAGAAATCGCCAATCTGTTTCAAACGTGACTGTACCGTTTTGCATTTTCATCACCAGTAGTGTGTGAGAATTTTAATTCTTCCACACCTTGAATTATCAATTTTTTGAGAGTCAATTAATACTAAGGGAAAGCATGAAATCTTTTATTTTTAAAAAAGAAATCTGGCTTTCAAAGGGATAATATTACTCTGTGATAATATAGAAATAAGACCTAAATTCTATGAGGCTTAATGCTCATTTCTCTAAAATTAGTGTCAATCAGCCATCCAAATCTTTGTATGAATGTTTAACACTGGGAATATAGCTAAATAATTAGAAGTAAAGAACTCAGAGATCCTTTTGACTTCAGAGTATATCCAGATATCAACAAAATTAAGAATTTTTTGGAGTATCAGTATCTTAGGTAGAAAAACATTTAGATTCTCCTTTGATAAACTGGGAGAAAAAAATTCTCTAGGAATCTTAATCTTACCTCTAGATCAGTTTCCATAAAATCAAAGACCAGGCTAATATTAGATTTATGTCCAAAAGCATCAAGGAGCTGCAAAGTAAATTTTTAAAAAAGTTAAAGTGAGATTCTCTATTTAACACTTGACAATATCATACCAACTGAGTTAACGCTAGAAAATTTAAACAAGCATTTAAACTATTGGTAATTCCCTAGAAAACTTAAATAATTTCATTAAATTTGACATTTAGTTTTTTTTGCAGAGTACTAGAGGAATTAATATTGTGAAGCACAAAAAATATTAAACTTTACTTAAAAAAAAATCACTACTTAACCTCTCCCCAAATTTTTGGCATAAGGGGAAAGGGGGAAATGAAATAAATTAACGAAAACTTTATCCCCAGTCTCCAATTAAAAGAAAAAAACCCAAGTACAATGCTTATCCTCTAAGTAGCAATAGCTATCATTCAATGAATGAGTACATTTTCTATGGCAGGCACTATTCCAGATACTTTCCATGTATTCAACTAGCTAGTCTCACAACAATCCTATGAGGTAGGGACTATGGCAGAGTTGTGAGGAAACATGTTCAAGGTCTTACACAGGAAGGGTTTTAAATGTAGGCTGTCACTCTTAGCCATTGTATGCTAGGGCCCTTCGGGCTTCAAAATAATTCCTGAGAAAATGAGTCTATATATCCATATCTGATTTATTCCATCAGTTGTATAGTTTTAAAGACATTATCTATAGGAACAATAAAAACAGAAAACACATTTTGGGGCCAGGTGTGGTAGCTCACACGTATAATCCCAGCACTTTGGGAGGCCAAGATAGGAGGATTGCTTGAGGCCAGGAGTTCGACATCAGCCTGAGCAACACAGTGAGACCCTATCTCTACAAAAAAACTAAAACATCAGCCAGGGGTCAGGGGTGGTGGCTCATGCCTGTAATCCTAGCACTCTGGGAGGCCAAGGCAGATAGACTGTCTGAGCTCCAGAGTTGAGACCAGCCTGAGCAGGAGCAGAGCCTGTCTCTACTAAAAATAGAAAAAATTAGCCAGTGTGGTAGTGCACGCCTATAGTCCCAGCTACCTGGCAGGTTGAGGCAGGAGGATCGCTTTAGCCCAGGAGTTTGAGGTTGCTGTGAACTAGGCTGACGCCATGGCACTCTAACCCAGGCAACAGAGTGAGACTCTGTCTCAAAAAAAAATAAAATCAACATCTACATTCAGAAAAGGCAGGGTTCCAAATCCCAGAAAACAATTTAGATCATACTCACACCAATTATATTTGGATGACTTAGCTCCTGTAATAATTTTATCTCTCTTAAGGCCGTTCTATTTATACCTAAATAAAAAGACAAAGCAAAAAGTGAATAATTCTGAAATCTCAAATCTTTTTACAATTTTTTTTTTTTTAGGAAAGGTTACTTATTCCACAGACATGTAAGGGCTATTTTGGCAATTTTTTGGGACACATCTGTTGTTCTTTAATATTGCTTTATTTTTAAAATAGCTTAACATAGACCATGAAAAATGGTGAAGAAAGTATTCACTTTATCTGTAGCACATCAGATCCGAAGACCACAGGACTAAAAACATAAGTGTGTAGCACATAAGTGATAAGTAATTATCTTCCTTTTTCTTCCTCTATAAATATTACGGGCAGAATCTCTGTGTTAAAAGTAACCTAATGATAAGACAGTATCTTTTCCAATAGAAAGGACAGAACTCTAAAATAAGATATGGTACTGGCACTTACACAGATGAAGAGTTTATAATAAGAGTGATTTTTGTGGTCAGGCGCGGTAGCTCACACCTGCAATCCTAGCACTCTGGGAGGCCAAGGCGGAAGGACTGCTTGAGCTCAGGTCTTTAAGACCAGCCTGAGCAAGAGCGAGACCCCCATCTCTACTAAAAATAGAAAAATTAGCTGTGCATGGTGGTTAGAGCCTGTAGTCTTAGCTACTCAGGAGGTTGAGGCAGGAGGATCACTTGAGCCCAGGAGTGTGAGGCTGCAGTGAGCTATGATGATACCATGGCACTCTAGCCAAGGCAACAGAGTGAGACTCTGTCTCAAAGAAAAAAACCAAAAGAGTGATTTTGTGATGACTAACTAGTAAGGCTATTAACAAATAAGGATTTGGAGAAACCATAAAGAAAACTTCTTCCCACATTATCTTTTCCACAGTGAGCTTTGTATACTTCCATGAAAATGTATCCTGAATTTTCAAAGTAATTAGAAGTTCAGAAATAGAAAAAGCAATGGCCTGTAACACCTACAACAGCAATGAAGACAATAAGATAACCCATTAATAACCTTGCTGCCTTCCATTTACTTAGCTGATTTGGAATGTTCCTCTAAACACCCAATTGGTGTAAATCACCAAATATCCTTTTTCTCTATCCTGCGTCTATCTTTAATATTCTGGGACCCTGTAGTAACTCTATCCAGAACCATCACTAAGTCTCATTAATACTTGGCTCTTTTCCTCAGTAAGAATAAAAATCTTTCCTTATCTGTCAGATTACATGAAATACGTACCATCTTTAGCTTCTGATCTGTGTCCAAGTTTGATCTGGTAAAGGAAAAAAACCCAAACATATTAAAAATGTATTAAATTATTTAAACTCAATGTATAATATATAAAATGAAGATTTAGCCACAGCAAAAAACCATGTAGCAACTCATATGTACCTAGTGTTAGGCTTTTGAAAATGGAGCAGGAATCATGAACCAGAAAGGCAAATTAACAATAGAAGAGAGAATCAAGTACCTACTCTTGTCAAGTAACAGAATTTTAAAAAGTCTCTTTTATCTTTTCCAGGTTAATTAAATGTGTACCAAATAACTGAGGGTATACTAGATAATTAAAAAAAGAAAAACACTTCAATTTAGCCTACTTGGAAGGAAAGATGTGATATATAATCAGAAAATAACACATTGGATAGTTGGGAATATTCCCGGTAATATGCTCTTAGGTATACTTTTCCAAAGAGCAAAATTGTGATAGATGTGGAAAATGGTTAAACTAATGTTAATGTGAATAAGCACAATAAATTGCATTAACAGATTTAGTCTTACATGAAATGAATTACCTGGTTAAAGAACATTCTCTTACTACTTTATATAAGAACTGTCAGTAATCAAGAAAAGATTACTTCTGGGCCAAGATGAAGCTACACTGCAAGGTAGAAGTGGTCAGCCGGCACTTGCCAGCCTTGGGGCTGAGGAACTGGGGCAAGGGCACCCAAGCCGAGCCGTGTTGAGCCTCTGTCAGCAGAGGCCCACGAGTTACCAGCAACCCATCTGCCTGCTCATCTCTACCCTGAAGGACAAGCACGGGACCCCCTATGAGCTAAAGGAAAACACTAAGCAACTCTTCACCAAATTTGGGGATGAGGGGAAAGCCATTGTTCATTTAAAGAAACCTCCTGTGGATATCTAAGTAAGGATTCCATATGGCTCCCATATCATTCCATTCCATCTTGGTGAAGATTTGGATACTGCAAAAACCTATGTTTGTGGAAGATTCTGTCTAAGCTCTTTTATTCAAGGAACTACTACTATGAATCTACACTCTGTTGCTCACACTGTGGTCTTAGTAAATAATATGGGTAGTACTGAAGTACCTATTATCTCTTACTTCTGTTCTCTAGACTGTTATGTAAATTCCTCTAATATGTTAAAGTAATAGACAATACCACAAAAAGAAATTTCATTTGATCACACAACTTTTGGGATTCATTTATGATTTAACAGTGTCACATCAGCAAAAGGGAAGCTTTTTGTATACTTGCTTGAGAAAAGGAATGTGTGTTAGTCTAACAATTTAAGTCATTTGACTCCAAAACTTTAATTTCATTAAAACCAAATTTAATTAAAAAAAAAAAAGAAAAAGAAAAGAGGCCAGGTGCGGTGGCGGTGGGAGACCGAGGCGGACTGATTGCTCAAGGTCAGGAGTTCAAAACCAGCCTGAGCAAGAGTGAGACCCCATCTCTACTTTAAATAGAAAGTAATTAATTGGCCGTCTAATATATATAGAAAAAACTAGCCGGGCATGGTGGCGCATGCCTGTAGTCCCAGCTACTCAGGTGGCTGAGGCAGTAGGATCACTTGAGCTCAGGAGTTTGAGGTTATGTGAGCTAGGCTGACACTCGCGGCACTCACTCTAGCCTAGCCTGGACAACAAACCGAGACTCTGTCTCAAAAAAAAAGAAAAGATTGCTTCTGAAAAAGCACAGCTATTTTACATTTAAAAAAAAATTTCGCCCTATAATCCTAGCACTGTGGGAGGCCGAGGTGCTTCGATTCAGGAGTTCAAAACAAGCCTGAGCAAGATCGAGACCCCATCTCTACTATAAATAGAAAGAATTATTATTGGCAACTAATATATAGAAAAAATTAGCTGGGCATGGTGATTAATGCCTGCAGTCCCAGCTACTCAGGAGGCTGAGGCAGCAGGATTGCTTGAGCCCAGGACTTAGAGGTTGCTGTGAACTAGGCCGATGCCATGGCACTCTAGCCAGGGCAACAGAATGAGACTGTCTCAAAAAAAAAAAAAAAAAAGAAAGTAGGCTACTTAATACAGTACAAAAAAGTAAGACACTTAGGAATAAAGCTCTCCAAGATAACTATAAAACTTATTAAAACATGCTTCACAGCAAGAGCCGGGCACAGTGGCTCATGCCAGTAATCCTAGCTCTCTGGGAGGCCGAGGCGGGTGGATAGCTCAAGGTCAGGAGTTCAAAACTAGCCTGAGCAAGAGTGAGACCCTGTCTCTCCTAAAAATAGAAATAAATTAATTGGACAACTAAAAATACATAGAAAAATTAGCTGGCATGGTGGCGCATGCCTGTAGTCCCAGCTACTCGGAGGCTGAGGCAGAAGGATTGCTTGAGCCCAGGAGTTTGAGGTTGCTGTGAGCTAGGCTGACGCCACAGCACCCTATCTGGGGCAACAGAGTGAGACTCTGCCTCAAAAAAAAAAGAAAGAAAATTTTAAGGTAGTCATATAATGGAATCATCAATGAGCATGAATAAATGAGAACTATGTGTATCATTATGGAGGATTTCAGAAATAATGTTGATTCAGAGAAACAAGTTGCAGAAGCATATACATTATATACATATATAAATATACTGTATACATATGTAGCTTAAAAGAGTGCAACATTATATGGTTTTGAGATACATATGTGAGACAAATATTGAAAAATGAGAAATGATCCAAAAGACCACCAACGGGGGATTGCTTAAACTAGGACACAAATCGAATATGATCTTTTAATAAGGACGAGGCAGATAAATGATATTTACAAAGTCCAAGATATAATAGGTGAAAGAGTACATACAGAGCAACTTATTTATTGATTCCCTTTTTGTAAAATTAAACACACGTCAGCAACGAATGGAAGTAGAAATTATGAGTGTTAAAAGGGGAAGGTCCACAGCACCAATCCTCAATGTTCACAATAGGAAGTATAAGGTCATGTCTAAAACTAGGGGAGTGGCGAGGGGACACCCGAAGAAATATAATGACACATACACATTACTTAAAGAAATGGAGGTAAATACTAGAAAAAACAGTGAAGGGAATTGACACTGGATGCTCTGAGGAATGAAAACCAGTGATAGAGAGGAGTTAAGCATGGTAAAAGCCTGGGCTATTAACTGCCTTTTAAAACCATAAAAATGTACTATTTGAATAAATTAAAAATTAAATGTAGGCCAGGTGCGGTGGCTCACGCCTGTAGTCCTAGCTCTCTGGGAGCCGAGGCGGCAGCATTGCTCGAGTTCAGGAGTTTGAAAACCAGCCTGAGCAAGAGCGAGACCCCGTCTCTACTATAAATGGAGAATTAATTGGCCAACATAAATATATCACAAAATTAGCCGGGCATGGTGGTGCATGCCTGTAGTCCCAGCTACTCGGGAGGCTGAGGCAGGAGGATGGCTTGAGACCGGGAGTTGGAGGTTGCTGTGAGCTTGGCAGATGCCACGGCACTCTAGCCTGGGCAACAAATCAAGACTCTGTCTCAAAAAAAAAAAAAATTAAATGTAAAAGATTCCAGTAGAAGTCAACTTTAAGGAGGAAAAGTCTATTACAGAGAAACAGGATGGACTCTAAATCCTAATTTTATGTTAAAAACAAATAATAGGACTGGCAAAGTGGCTCACACCTGTAATCCCAGCACTTTGAGAGACAGAGCCAGGAGGATCACTTCATGCCAGGGGTTCGAGACCAGCCTGGGAAACACAGCAAGACCCAAGTCTCCACTAAAAATTTTAAAATTAGCTAGGCCTGTGGTTGTGTACTCATAGTCCAAGCTACTTGGGAGGCTGAGCAGAAGGACTGCTTGAGCCCAGGAATTCAAAGTTACAATGAGCGATGATTGAGTCACTGTACTCTAGTTTGGGTGACAGAGTGATATCTTGTGTCTTTAAAACAACCAACCAAACAAAAAAACCCACTAGGACTTTCATCAATATTCCAATATGAAGAGATTATGCCAGTGAGTCAAGTCAATACATCTTTAAAATTTTTTAAAATTTATCTTCTCTTATCAAGTTGTGATGTGAAGCTCAATATATTTTTAATGAGTCCCTACATATCTGTTAGCCAAAGTCCATAGTCCTAGGTATGTGAATAGAATTAAACAGATGATAAACTCACATATAAGAGGATTTTGGATTTTTATAAGTGCTATATAAAGAAATATGACAAAATAGGGAAGGAGGGAAGCACATCTGTTTTGGCTAGAATGAACAGAGAAGGCCTCTATGAGGAGACATTTGAGTGAAACCTGAATTAGCCACACCAAGTTCTAGAGGGAAAATATATCAATCAGAAGGCAGAGCAAATGCAATGATCCTGGGACTATAAGGAATTTAATGTGTGCAAGAGACAGAAATGTCAGCGTGGGTTCGATATGGTGAACCAGCGAACTAAAAAGGTTATAAAAGGGTCAGGAGAGTTAAGGGTTGTAGAAGGGAGTAGCTATAGTGGCAGATCATATAACATAAGCTGGAAAACAAGGACTTGAGGGAAGTAAAAAAAAAAAAAAAAAAGATAATGGTGGCAGGAATAATTGAAGAGAGGAAGAGAGAGAGCCAGGTATTAAGTGAATGAGAGGGAGTACCTGGGAGGCTGGAAGATGACAAAAATGCAGAAGAGGAATGACTCTTCTGAAGGAGTTCCGGATTTTGAAGGAGAAGAAACAGATTCAAAATAGCAAAAAGACCAAAACAAAGATCAGGGCACCTGGATTTAAATCCTAGCTTTTGAGCTGGGCATGGTGGCCTACGCCTATATTGTCCCACCTTCTCCAGAAGATCACCTGAGCCCAGGAGTTGGAGAACAGCATGGGCTACATGGAAAAAAGTCTTAGCTTCAGTAATTATTAGTTGTGTGATTTTGCCAAATCACCTAATCTCTCATATCCTCAGGTACCTGAAGTGTAAAACAGGGTTAGCTTTATCTACTTCACAGGTTGTTTGGAAGGTTAAATGAAAAACTGTAGGTGGAAGTGAAAGCTAATTAGGCAAGTCTTTGAATGTCTGAATTACATGCATTCTGAAGTCTTCTGAATGCATATAACAAGCTACTTAAATCATTTTTTAAAATGCACCACATCAGTGCTGTTAATGCTAGTGAAAGCCTTTCATAGTACACCTGTACATAGAAAATACAGAGATGGCACACAGAGTGGATGCTGGTGAAGTAGAAAACAGCGATCTGGTAAAATCATGATATCAAATAGTTCTGAGGACTGAACAGATGGGCAGTACTTGCCCCTTTAGCCAACATCCGAATGTATGCAGTGAAAATAACATAGTTTCCTCTTCATTTCAATTTAAATTAATGGAACAAAAAGCTGGTTCAAACCCAGAGCTCCATCTTGGGGCACAAGATGGAACTTAATCCTTTTGTCTTTGCAAATGACACGTGTAACTTCTCATTATCTGAGTCTGGTCAAGAGCAGTAAAATGACTATCAACTCATAATACAGACATCTTCAAGAAAAGTTGAAGAAAACATAAACGGCAACTCACTTTCTTAATGGCGACGATTTGGTTGGTGTTCTTATCTCTGGCCTTGTAAACCGTGGCAAACTAGAAAGAAAAATACCAATAACGTTAATTTGTGGGAGTTTTTTGATGTTTGCCTTTTTGCGTTTTTACATTATGGGAAGCAAAGAACCTAGGGTTCTTGAGCGGGTTCGCAGTGGCTTGAAACTTCGTGGGGCAGTCCACGTCCCACTTCAGCCTATTCATAAAGGAGAGGGCCGCTCAAGAGTTCACGTCCAGGATGTAAAGAAGAGGGGCGGCAGTTGCGTCTGGACAGTCTCTCCCAGGGAGAACGAGCAGCCAGGCTAGTCCTCCGGCCTCCACAAGAAAACCTGCAAAGGCTGAGGCGGCGCGGTGCTCTCCGCTCTGGCCCTGCCAATCCCGCCAGAGCCTCACCTGTCCCTCCCCGAGGAAGTCCAGTTTCTCATAACGCTTTGCCCGAGACTTCACGTCCAAAGCCATCCAGCGCCGCTAAGCCCGACTCCAGTCAAAGAGGCTGGGCTCCCCAGACAGCAAAAACTTAGAGCCACCTTAAGGTCTCCAACAGCCACTTCCGTTCACTGGGCTCCGACGCCTTAGTAGCCCCGCCCCATTTCCGGAATGGGCGTGGATGCTGGTCAATGGCGCCCGCGCGGAGCCAGCCTTGCGGAAGCTGCTGGAGTACCCAACCTATCACGAGGTGCCTGTTGGTGCCGGAAGTGGAGTCTTTTCTGTGGCTGCTGTGTCACCCTATTATCGTTTTAACTTGGATATTTTCTACACTGGCTAGGAAGAGTCAGCATTCGGTTATGATATTTTGAGTTCGGAATTTGGTAGGTGTGTGTGAGTGTGAAAGGCTTGGCCTTGTACCTGATCTCGCTTTCTGGTTCTTGCACAGGAGCATCCTGTCGCTACGGTTGCTATGGACACAAACCCCGCGGTCTCGGGTGCCAAATTCTTAAGAGCTGTTCAAGAGCCTTGTTAGTCCAGTCCTTTAATGAAGAATCAGACCCAGGGGAAAAAAATACAACTCAGCTGAAACATGTGCTGTGGAAGAGGCTTCTGGCCCTCAGTTTTCTACTCTGTAAGATGGAAATAATAGACTACATCATAGGTGGCTGTAGGACTAAATGAGTCATGCAGAAAGCTTAGACATAGTAAGTACTCAATTAAATATTAGCTGTGATCTGTACCCAACGTCATGATTATCATAAATTTTCGTAACAAACAATTCCTTTATTAAACCAATAGATAGTGAGTGGCCTGGTGCGGTGGCTCAGCCTGTAACCCTAGCATTCTGGGAGGCCGAGTCGGGAGGATCATTTGAGCTCAGGAGTTCCAGACCAGCCTGAGCAAAAGCGAGACCCTGTCTCTACTAAAAATAGGAAGAAATTAGCTGGACAACTAAAAATATGCAGAAAAAATTAGCCGGGCATGGTGGCGCATTCCTGTAGTCCCAGCTACTCGGGAAGCTGAGGCAGAACGATTGCTTGAGACCAGGAGTTTGAGGTTGCTGTGAGCTAGGCTGATGCCAGGGTACTCTAGCCCAGGCAACAGAGTGAGACTCTTGTCTCAAAAAAAAAAAAAAGTATATATATATGTATATAGTGAGTGCTTTCTATGTGTAAACCACTGTTGTAGACTCTGAGAAGTCAGCAGGGAAGAAAACAAATCCTTGTTTTCCAATGAGAGGAGATAAAACAAGTCAAATATATTATGATACATAGTGATAAATGCCATAGAGATAGTAAAACAGGTAAAGTGGACGGGAAGGTGGAGAAGGATGAGGGGCATTGCAGTTTTAAGTAGGGTGGCAGAAGAAAGATATCACTGAAAAGTCACTGGAGGGATTAGAGCAAACAAGCGATAGGATCTGACTTGATGTTTTAAAAGGTTCACTATGGTTGTTGAGAGAAACTAGACTTAGAGGGGCGAGGAAAATCAAGGCTTGTTAGAAAATTATTACAATAATCTACATGGCTCTACTAGAGTGGTACCAGTTTAATTTCTAGTCAATAAGATTTGCCGACAGGCTGGATATGATTTGTGGGGAAAAAAGGACAATTCCAAGGTTCTGAGCTGGAGCAGCTATCAACATGGAAATGTTTTCCCCATTCTTTGCATTTGATATTTGTAAGATTGCAAATCCTAATTTTCAGAGATATGTAGAAGGCAGCAGAATATCAATGCCAATAATTTAGTCAGGTTTTGTTTTTTTTTTCACTCTGTAAACAGACTGTCTACATCTGAATACTGGCCCCATCACTATTCAATCACTAGATATGACTTGGGTAGATTACTTTCTGTTCTTAGTTTCTTCCTCTGTAATTGGACCTACTCAACTGCTGTAAGGCTTAAACAACTTCACACTTGAAAAGCCCTTAGAATTATGTCTAACAGCCAAATACTTCTTTTAGGTTAGCAGTTACTGTTATTGTTTATAATCTTTCAACCCCTTGTCACTACTTGGGCCTAGGCAAAACTCTCAGACATTGCAGAAAACACACCATCTTTACCACTTACCTTTCTTGATTGTGGCAAGTCATACCTAGTGATGCATGATGTCACATGATTTAAGTCAAAGTTTCTTCTGACATACCACATAACAGTAATTTAACCTCACTTATCATAGAAATAAACTAGTGAGCTAAATTTGATGGTATACCTGTGAGACTTGAGATTCCCAAGTGTGTTGTGAAATATAAGTTGTTAATTAGTGTACTACACCATGCTGCTGACAAGTACATTCTTATTTGAGAACATTTAAAATAGGCTAATGAAGGCAGTGTTTAGATGATATTCTGGGGCAGTGAGGTATTTTATATTGCATATATAAAATACCATTAAGCATTTGCATAGCATTTTAAAGTTTACAAAGCACTTCCACACATCTTGTATTAGGCAGCTTCCATGATGGCCACAATGATCCTTGCCTTCTGGTATTAATGTACATGTGTAGTCTTCTCCCACAATAAAAAACAGGCTCTTCTTGATCCGACTAGCACATGTGAATCATTTGCTCTGGAAGAAGCCAGCCATGTCATGAATTCACTGAAGCCTTGTGGATAGGCTTACAATGGAGAGAAACTGAGGCCTCCTGCCAATAGTCAGTATCAACTTGCCAGCCATGTGAGTAAGCTACCTTGGAGGTGGATCAACCAGCCCCCGCCAAGCCCTCAGGTGACTGCAGCCTCAGATAGCATCTAATTGCAATCTCTTGAGACACTCTGAGACAAAACCACCTAGTGAAGCTGCTTCTGAATTCCTGACCCAGAGAAACCATAAGCTATTGATTTTTGTTTTTAGTCACATAATTTTGGGGTGATTTGTTACAAAGTAATAGATAATACACATAATACACTAATTTGATCTTGCCTATCACACTGTATAGTCCTGGAGAGGAAAACTGATATTTGGACAAATTCAGCTATTTGCTGATGATCACATATATTTAAGTGCTTAACTCCAAAACCCCTAAATAAAAATACAGGCTGTTCAACTCTAAGCCTAGCCAGAATTCTTTCTACAACACTGTCCTCCTTGGGAGCTCATCCTGTGACAGCAATTCCCACTGACATGCACTGTCATACCTGTACTCACAAATTCTGTAAGTGACATATTTTTTCATTTTGACTCTCATAGCAGTGGTAAAGTAGTAAAGACTGCCCTCAGATACATATCCACAGTTCCAATGTTAGGGTTTCTAACTGTTGTCCCATATTACTAAAACTACTCTTCACTACCTGAACCCCCCCAAAATAGCCATGGGCTTCCTTTTACTGAAATTAGGGGGAAAAAGAGAATAGTGCTAGTTTTAAAGTAATTTTCCCAAATTTTTTAAATAAAAACAAATCATCTATTCTTCACAAGTCACCATAAGAGCTTATTGCTAGCATCAAACCCAAACCCATCTCATATTTATGTTGGACAACATTTACACTAGGCCACAGCACAGAATTTATAAGAGAAGTAGATCAACTCTGTAGAAAAAAGTAAAGATTAACCCATAGGAAATTGGGCAAATAGAGAAACACATTCAAAAAATAATTCTACTGTCTCTTGCTCATGAGCTACCCTTACTATTACAGATTACTTCTTTAAAGCATATTCTAGAAATCATTAAAGGTAAGGAAAGAGAATTTATTTAGCTTTGTGAGGCTTTACTTTCACAGTATACATATGCTTGGCACAGGAAAGCCCTTTTAAAGATTCAGAAGTTGCTTAATAAGGTAAATATTTAGTTTGATTTATGAGGCTTTTCAATATTAAGTTTGAGAAAGTTAATGGTTATCAGAATTTCCATACATGATCACAATCAAAACACTAAACCAAAGAACAAACCTTACCCCCAAAACATAATAAATTGTAATTTCTAGTGAAACATTTATGCCTATGCTGTACTCATTTTTTCCTGACAAATGCCTTTCAAGAATCCTCTGCTATGTTCATTTTGATTGCTTATTTTCCACTTTATACTCTGTTTTGAATATAGGTTACAAATAATCTTTTGTGTTATTTCCTTAGTCTTTTTTTTTTGAGACAGAGACTTGCTCTTTTGCCTAGACTAGAATGCATGACTTAATCATAGCTCACAGCAACCTCAAACTATTGGCTCAAGTGATCTCCTGCCTCAGCCTCCCAGATAGCTGGGACTACAGGCACACCACCATGACTATCTAATTTTTTAAACTTTGTAGAGATGGGGTCTCCGTATGTTTCTCAGGCTGGTGTCAAACTTCTGGCCTCAAGTGATCCATGCGCCTCAGCCTCCCAAAGTGCTAGGATTATAGACGTTAACCACTGTGCCTGGCCTCCTCAGTCTTAATACTTAGGCACCTGTTTTACCTTGGCTATATTTTTATCATTTAGAGTAGGATATACTTATTAAGCCAGTTATACTGGCTTATACAGTAAACTTGTGAATGAAAATATGTTAGAGAATTAAGAACAAGTAATGGAGTCATTATTTCACTGATTCTTATCCAATGTCAGGAAAATCATGTCCCTAAAACAGCAATTCTGCCTGATAAATTCCTTCCATGTCTAAACAGAAACAGCAAGAAAAGTGAACTTATGGGAAGCCTATTATACTTTACTAGACCTTGTGTGCTTTAATAGTTCAACACTGGTAATATTTGATGATCAAGAGTAAATAGGCTAACATTTAAAAATGTATACTTTAATAAGTATAATATATAAACAATTAATTAGGTAAGCTTGTGGAGAACTGACCAAGATACATAAATTAGGAGATACAAGTGTCCTTCTAAATTTTCTATATCTCATTTTTTACAGAATATTTATTAAAGTTGCTTTTCTCATTTTCATTTTAGAAGTCATTTATTGTGAAGTAATTCTTCTGTCTGATGACAAACAGCAGCCACAATGATTACTCTGGACTCCCACCTGAAAAGGAAAAAATAAAGCAGTATGATTAGATATTAATTGACACAGTAAATGTTTTCATGGCCACTTTACACAATTATGAGCAAATAATCTATAGTTTTTTTTTAAATAATTTTGGGTTTTTCCTACCTTTTGGGTACTCATATTGATTGCTATAAATATAGTTTCAGACTGGAAGGGACTCAAGTTTGACCCAAATCAGTGGTCCTCAAATTTCTTGGTCTCAGAAGCTCTTTACACTCTGAAAAATTATGTGGACCCAGAGCTGTTTTTCATGTATACTACTGTTATTGATATATCATGCCAATTTACTGAGGGCTGACTATGGTTTGTTTCTCACAGCCCTGGACTACCTGATGATCTGTCTTAGCTATGACCACAACTTGACAAGACAATGTGAAGAACATGTAAATCAGTAAGTGAAATTCCAAAGCCAAAATGTTATAGTGTTTTGCACAGTCTTATGATAAAGCACACCAACATACTTGGATAAATTCAATTTCTTCTTGAGATACAAGTTTCCTTCTATATTTCTGAGGCAATGTTTTTATTATTTCTGCAGTATCTGGTGGACCCTGATACATCAGCAAATCTGGTGATTTACTTCCCTTAGAATGCTGGGAAATTGCAGAAGAGTGAGATGGTAACCCTGCTGATCTCAAAGCTTCTGATACTGAAATTAAAAAGAAAAAAACCTAATTAGAGAAATTGTTCAGGTGTCTTAAAATACTATTTTATCTACTATTGAATAAGCAAGTCATTCTTGAAATCAAGTAATTCTTCAGATACTTCCTGAAGTATTATAATTCTAAGAGGAAAATACTGTACAGTAACTCAGCTGGCTATATATAATTTCATAAAGTTGTTTTTTTTTTCTTCCTGGAGATAGGGTCTTACTCTGTTGCCCAGGCTAGAGTACAGTGGTGTTATCATAGCTCACTGCAGCCTCAAACTCCTAGGCTCAAGCAATCCTCCCACCTCAGCCTCCACAGTAGCTGGGGTGCACCACTATACTGGGCTAATTTTTGTATTTTTTGTAGAGATGAGGTCTCACTATATTGCTCAGGCTGGTTTTGAACTCCTAGGTTCATGTGATCCTCCCACTGGGTTTCCCAAAGTGCAAGGATTACAGGTGTGAGTCACCATGCCCGGCCCATAAAATTATTTTTAACTCTCTGGGAGGCCGAGATGGGCGGATTGCTCAAGGTCAGGAGTTCGAAACCAGCCTGAGCAAGAGCGAGACTCGTCTCTATTATAAATAGAAAGAAATAATTGGCCAACTATATATATAGAAAAAATTAGCCGGGCATGGTGGCGCATGCCTGTAGTCCCAGCTACTCGGAGGCTGAGGCAGGAGGATCGCTTGAGCCCAGGAGTTTGAGGTTGCTGTGAGCTAGGCTAACGCCATGGCACTCACTCTAGCCTGGGCAACAAGTGAGACTCTGTCTCAAAAAAAAAAAAAAAAAAAAAATTATTTTTAACACAAATAAGGAAGTAGGGTTTTGTATTTCTTTTAAGTTTATTGATTTATTTTATTTTTAGAGACAGGGTCTTGCTTTGTTGCCCCAGCTGTTCTTAAACTGTTGGACTCAAGTGATCATCTTGCTTCAGCCTCCTGAGTAGCTAAAACTACAGGCACATGCTAGTGTACTCGACTAGGGGGTAGTTTTTAATAAGTGAATTACTAAAATTAACAAGTTTGTAATGTAATGAAATTTCTAGTTAATGGAGTTCAACCCATATGGGTAACCTATGCTATGTAAGTTTTTGTCATATAAGCCCACATGGTGAAGTTTATAGGTGATATCTTACGATGGGGAATAAGAAAGTTGGTAAATGTAAATGAGGGTAGTTTTCTTAATACCTTTATACTTGTTAATTTTATTCAATAGTTAAAATAAGTTTAAAATATCCCTATGAAATATGTTAAATTTCTCCCTGAACTAAAGATCAAGTATCCAGAGAGGCACAGAGGATCTGGTTAAAAAAAAAAGAAAAGAAGAGACCAGAGAAAAACAGAACCCTTTCAGAATCTTTGCCTATTAATTTACAGGTATTTTATAGTGAATAATTTGCTAAGGACTAAGGCAATCCAAATATTATTTACTGACTGAACTAATAGACAAACGAGTGAATGAAAGAAAAGAAGGTTGGCTGGGAGAAAAATATAGGAATGACTGAGTCTTTACATTTTATGAAACAAACTAGATAAATATAGGGATGGTTATTATTCCTCACAATCTCTGCAAATGTAAGCATGGGGGAATCTTCTAAAGGACAGGAGAGGCTGGGCGCAGTGGTTCACACCTGTAATCCTAGCACTATGGGAGGCCGAGGTGGGCAGATTGCTCGAGGTCAGGAGTTCGAAACCAGCCTGAGTAAGAGCGAGACCCGTCTCTACTATAAATAGAAAGAAATTAATTGGCCAACTAATATATATGGAAAAAATTAGCCGGGCATGGTGGTGCATGCCTGTAGTCCCCGCTACTCGGGAGGCTGAGGTAATAGGATTACTTGAGCCCAGGAGTTTGAGGTTGCTGTGAGCTAGGCTGACACCACGGCACTCACTCTAGCCGGGGCAACAAAGCGAGACTCTGTCTCAAAAAAATAAAAAATAAAGGACAGGAGAGAAGAAAGGGTAGGATAAAAATTCTCCAATATTGACTCAATTAATTTTAGTGAAAAATTCAGACATACACTACTGAATCACTACCTTTAAAATTAGGGGTAATAAAAAGTTAATTTCTACTTGCATATGATGTAGGGTACCATTTTGATCTAAGCTACAACAGTCTGACTGTAAAATGAGAGATATTGCCTACAATAAGATATGATATTCATTTATAAATATACATGTACATAATTTTTTTAAAAATCTCAGTAAAATACAATTTACCATTGAGTTTAGGATTGTCTCTTCGGTCAGGAAATCTTATTAATGGAGTGTGTGGCTTGACTACCTAGAGGAAAAATAAAATGCATGAAAAAAATAACTTCATTAACTATAAAAGAAATGACCTACTAAACTTCATAAATAGATACTTTTGTTAAAATAACTTACCATTTAACAGCCACTTTAAATTGTACTTTTCCCAACCAAAAAAGCTGGTCTGTGAATTATTACCTTACTATTTATATCTTTGTACTTGATATATCACAAGACCTTTTACTGTATAACTAACCACAAAACAACTCAGTGAAGACAATGACATGGATTTTATATTGCATAACTTGTAATAGATTGGTAAGAAAACAATTGGAAGTTTCCTGACTTGTATCAAGTGTTGTTTCCCTACTATGTTAATTAATACCTAACAGTTTAGAATAGGATAAAAATCAATCATATTTAATATTTAAAAACACTTTTTCTGACTACAAAAGTAATATGTTCTGTGTAAAAAATTTGGAAAAATGCAAAAAAGCACAAAGAAAATATTATAATCCAAAAACCCACATAAAACATATTTAAAACTTATGATAGCTCTTTTAGTTTTTCCTATACTCATAGAAATAATGTTTTCATAATATAACAGATATTTGAAAAGTATTAATATTTTTATCCATAAAATTCAACATAGTGGTATAGAGGACCTTAAATAGACCTATTAGTATAAGAACTTCTAAATATACAACGAACAAAGTACTATTTTCAACAAAAGTAATCTATAAATTGCTATGTAACTAACATGACTGTGGTGTATTTATCTATAATATATTTGTATGTATGTACTACAAATAATGGATTTTATATGGGCACATAAGTAAATAGGCTTGTTAGGGTTGGCTTGAAAATTCACCCCCATAATACTGCTGCCATGAGAAAATGCTGGAATATTTTCTCTCACTCAGCATAAAAACATGTTTAAAAGATCTCTGTACGTGTGTGTGTGTGTCTCTCGTAACTGTTTCTTCCCTTTCATAGCCAATCTTCTAAAAAGAATGTTTTATCCTACTGTTACTTCCCTATTTAAAAGGTTGAAAAATGTTCCATAGCTTTCAGGATAAATTTCAAACTCGCATTTGGCACTTACAAGGCCCATCATGATCTGGTCTCTCCTTCCCTCTCCAGCCTCATTCCCCACCACTGTCTTATGTACCTGTTACTCCAGGTATTCTGAAGTACTTTTCATTTCCCTTCTATCCCCATTCCATCTAGAGCTCATGTCCTCTCCCAGGAACTCTCTCTTCTATCTCATCCCATTTCCATGCCTATCCTTCAAAACAAAGCAAATGTCATTCTTCTCTAAGAACCTTGCCCTGATTCCAAAGTCTGATTTAAAAACTCCTCCTCTGTGCTCCCATGGCATCCTGAAAAGATCTCTCTTAAGAATCTTTTCAGAGGACAGAAATGAGCCAATGATTACAGGAGAGAGCTAAACTCCTGGAAAGGCAGAGTAAGAAATTAAGCACTTCTGCAGCAGTATAATAAATCCTGATATGCTCATCACACAACTTCAACAGTAATATAGCAACCTTGTTTCATCATCCCCTCCCCCATTAAACAAACCCCATATATCTTATCCCCTTATCTGTTAATACCTTCCACATGTATCATTGACAAGGATTCTTGTTAAATCACAACCCCAATGCCTTTTTTTCCAATTTGAAGACAATCACTCTTTATTAACTGACTAGAATACAAAAATAATCATGGTAGACACCTTAGTTCATCCTTCCAATAAGCCTGTTGATCTGGTCTTTGTTCAGGTGAACCCCAATACTTTTACCACACCAATCAAGTTAACAATAATTCCTTATTATCATCTAATATTTAGCTTATGCTCAAACTTCCCTGTCTCAAACTTTTCTTCGTAAAGAGAAACAAATGAAAAACTTAATGATTCAGAAATAAATCAGCAAAACTTTATGATTTAGAAGTTTTCAATGTCCTTTTCAACATCAGTAGATTACATATTAATCAAGGAAGCCATTTAAGATTTGAGGGACTCATAACAAGATTTTTTACTTAGGGATAGGATGTAAGCCATGAATCATAAAATCTTCCCTGGTGGTTAATTTGGAAGCCTGCTAAATGTGGCCTATAGGTTGTCATTTAAAAAAAAAAAAAAAAGAGTAAGATAACTTCCAAATCTGTAGATACTCTCAGGTTTTTCTTTTTAGTTTTAAAAACATTTTTAAAAATCAGGAATAGGCCAGGCTTGGTGGCTCATGCCTGTAATCCTAGCACTCTGGGAGGCCACGGCGGAAGGATTGTTTGCACTCTGGAGTTGGAGCAAGAGCAAGACCCCATCTCTACTAAAAATAGAAAGAAATTGGCCAACTAAAAATATATAGAAAAAACTAGTCGGGCATGGTGGTGCATGCCTGTAGTCCCAGCTACTCGGGAGGCTGAGACAGGAGGAGCACTTGAGCCCAGGAGTTTGAGGTTGCTGTGAGCTAGGCTGATGTCACAGCACTCTAGCCTGGGCAACAGAGTGAAACTTTGTCTCAAAAAAAAAAAAAAAAAAAAAAAATCAGGAATAGACTATTTATAACTGTGATTTGTTGAACAGTAGTATGCATAGATGTTTGTGATTATAGGAAACTCCAAACTTTTTCTCTGAAGGTTCAATAATTGAATTTGCTGAAATAAACTGACAATAAAAAAATAAAGAGAAAACTCCAACTGTATATTAGTGTGAATGTAACTAAGAGGAAAAAAAGGAGCTGAGTCAAGTAAGTTTTGTACATAGTGCTTGGACTATATACCATCAGGCTAAAGGCAAAATTACAAAGAAATTTTGAACTTTTTACTTGGCAGGTTGGCTGTTGATAGTTGCAATAGCTATTCTGAAACCACTTTGTATATATTGTAGGATTGAGCAAATGAGTATATATATTGATGTTTTTCCCTGAGAAAGAAAGAAAATACAGATAAGGGATAGAGAAGGAAGATGTGGTGTTAAGATTGGAATTAGAGAGGTCAGTATGAATTCATGATAAACACCATGCGTTTATTCGACCAGTCCCCTAGTAATGGATGTTTGGAACCAGTCCCCTACTAATGGATGTTTGGATTGTTTCTAGTCTTTCTTTTATTACAAATAATGCCATAAAATGAATACCCTAGTACTCTTTGTCAGTGTGTTTGTGGGATAAATTCCTAGGATTGCTAGGTCAAAGGGTGAAAACAATTTTTGAGATATTGCCAGATTTGCTTCACAGCCTTGTCAACAGACCAGGTTATCCAACTTGTGTGGTATTTTTAGAGATCTACTGGGTAAAAAATGTTACTTCCATGTAGTTTTTAAAAATTTTTATATCAGCCAGGCGCCGTGGCTCATGCCTGTAATCCTAGCACTCTGGGAGGCCGAGGTGGGCAGACTGCTTGAGGTAAGGAGTTCGAAACCAGCCTGAGCAAGAGCGAGACCCCGTCTCTACTATAAATAGAAAGAAATTAATGGCCAAAATATATATAGAAAAAATTAGGCGGGCATGGTGGTGCATGCCTATAGTCCCAGCTACTCGGAAGGCTGAGGCAGGAGGATTACTTGAGCCCAGGAGTTTGAGGTTGCTGTGAGCTAGACTGACACCACGGCACTCACTCTAGCCTGGGCAACAAAGTGAGACTCTGTCTCAAAAAAAATTTTTTTTTATGTTTCTATTTTTTTAAAGAGATGGGTTCTTGCTATGTTGCCCAGGCTACACTTCAAGTTCTGGACTAAGGGAATCCTCCAGCCTCAGCTTTTCAAGTAGTGTGACTACAGGTGTGTGCCACCATGCCCAGCTACTCCATGTAGTTTTAATTTTCATTTCTGTTGCTATGAATGAGGGTGACCATCTATTCAGATGGGTAAGGGCCATTTTCATGTCTTTATTTGTGAGCTGTATGTTCAAAGCTCTTGTGTATTTTCTTTTCTTTTTTTTTAAGACAGACTCTCTCTTTGTTGCCCAGGCTAAAGTGAGTGCCGTGGCGTCAGCCTAGCTCACAGCAACTTCAAACTCCTGGGCTCAAGCAATCCTACTGCCTCAGCCTCCCGAGTAGCTGTGACTACAGGCATGCGCCACCATGCGTGGATAATTTTTCTATATATATTAGTTGGCCAATTAATTTCTTTCTATTTATAGTAGAGACAGGGTCTCGCTCTTGCTCAGGCTGTTTCGAACTCCTGACCTCGAGCATTCTGCCCCCTCGGCCTCCCAGAGTGCTAGGATTACAGGCATAAACCACCACGCCCAGCCAAAGCTTTGTGTATTTTTCTAAGCTTACAGATTCTTTATGATGTATGGCTATTAACCCTTTATTGCAAAAAAAAAATTTTTTTTTTTGCAACAGGATTTTGCTGTCACCCTGGGTAGAATGCAGCGGCATCATCATAGCTCACTGCAACCTCAAACCTATGGGCATAAGCAATCCTCTTGCCTCAGCCTCCCGAGTAGCTGGGACTATTGGTGGACACCACAATGCCTGGCTAATTTTCCTATTTTTAGTAGAGACAGGGTCTCGCTATTGCTCAAGCTGCTCTCAAACTTCTGACCTGAAGGAATCCTCCTGCCTCAGCCTCCCAGAGTACTAGGATTAGGTGAGCCACCTCACCTAGCCATCTACTCTTCTTTAAGATATGGATCAACAACCAAATTCTAAGTTGTATGTCTGTCTTGTTGGCACTATAGTCCCAGCACTGAGCATAGGCCTAACACAGAGTTATTGAATAAATTTGCTAACATTATATGTAATTATAACATAATATTTACATACTGCTTTGTATTCTGAATGACTAAATATTTTGTTCCCCTGTTAGAAGGGCACAGACGATTCCTCACTGTATATCTCACAGTTTCTTTGTTTGCATATATCAGATCAGTAGTGAGTTCTTTATTATTACTGTGTATTATTCCATTTTAAAAGTACTACAATTTGCTTATCTAATAATGGGCATATAGATGTTTCTGGTTTAGGGGCTATTATAAATTAAAGCTATTAACTTTTTTTTCTATGAACGTTTTTAAAAATAAAGACAGGATCTCACTCTGTTACCCAGGCTGGAACTCTTGGTTTCAAGTGATTCTCCAGCCTCAGCCTCCTGACTAGCTGGGATTACAGGCATGAGCCACATGCCTAGCTAATTTTAAATTTTTTGTAGAGGCGGGCGGGTGGTCCTCACTATATTGCCAGGCTGTCTTGAACTCCTGCCCTCAAATGATCCTCCAGCCTCTGTATCCCAAAGTGCTGGGATTACAGGCATGAGCCATCATACTTGGCAGTATCAAGTCTTTTACCCATTTTTAAATTGGGTGAATATTGATATATATGGTTATATATTATGGATACAAGACCTTTGTGAGATAGTCTCTCTGTCCCTACGGAATCTTTAATTAGTTAATGCTCAATTAGTGAAGATCATTTATTGCAATGGGACCAAAGACTGGAATCTAGGATTATCATTCAGACAATTTAAGGAATTTAGGTCTTTTAAAAGATGTACTTGTGCAAAGGAAAATGCACTTCTCATATCAAAGCTAAAAGTGAATCATAAAATAATACACTGGAGGGTTGAAAGACTATATAAACCAACCACAAAAGTGGAAGTTGTGTCCATTTATATACCAATTTTACCTCTCCTATTTATTAATAAGTTAGAGACCATAGCTGGAGAAGCAAAAATAAAAGCTGTCAGGAGTTAACAGTTGATATCAGGATTAACAATTTTATTATGGCTGTCTAAACCCAGGATAAAAAGGCTTGAGAAACAAACCCTAAAACATATACTGGAGTTAACCTTAAATGTATCTTTCTATTCCTCCCATCCAGGAATAACGCTTGGACCCAGATATCTGGCCATTCCCAAGACCTTGAAGGGACACTGGGTCACATCCAGGGTTCGCTTCCTTCCACGCCCCGCTATCGCCTTCCTTCGGATTGGCTGATCGAGGACATCTCAAACTGTACTAGACGGCGATTGGCTATTGCCAGGCCAGGGGAGTCCGCGGACTCCGGAGGAGAATGAGGTCGGGCGAAGGAGTCCAGGTCAGTATGTACGGTACCTACCTACCGAGATGCCTCACTCCCGCCGCCAGGCTCGAACCGTCAGCTGTAGACCCCAGCGCACTGCCCGACCCAAGGGGCTCAAGGTCCCATTCTCGCTCACATACACCCGCGCGCGTCGCCGCTAGCCCTACTCAGGGCCGCGGTCACCGCGCAGCCTCCGCCACCGCCTTTCCTCCCCAACGCCGCTGGTAGAGTCAGCACCACCCCTGCGGCCCAAGGCGCAGAAAGGCGACCAAATCTCTTTACCTGGACGACCCTGCTGGCAGACGCCATCTTGCTGCCCATCATGACCCCCGTGAAGGGGCGGCTTCCGGGGCGCAAGGGAGCCGCGGTGATAGCGGGAGCCGAGGGCAGCTGGGGGCGGGACCTCCCTGGGACGTCACGGGGACGCGCGCCTGGGCTCGCGCTGGGTCCGCCCGGTCCGGGCTCGCCCCACCCCTGCGTCGGCCCCGCCCCGCCCCTCTTCCCGCCGGGGAGCTGTCGCACGTGCCTCCCATTGTTTGGTTTTGCTTACGAAGGTTTGCGATGTTGGGTTTGTTTTGCTCATCAGCCTGTGTTGTCTAGGGCTATTTCTTTTCCAGGCAGCCAGTGTCTAATTTCGGCATAGTTCAACATTTTATCTGAAACCAAGTAAGTAACACATGTCCTGTAGCTTCTTAAAATGAACAAGAATGTTAAAACTTGGGAGCTAGCAGCAACCTCAGAAACAACAGTTAATTCTTGTTTAATAAGGGTCAGCAAGATTTGCTTGCTGGTTGGCATTGCTTGATTTCAGTTTCTGTTTTCTCTACTATTCATTTACTCCCGATATTGAACTGCTTCTGCTTCAAGTTTGAGAGAACTAAAAAATTCAGACGTTAGCCTGCCTTATCATTGGCTTACTTAACCCTGCCTTATCATTGCTCCACATTAAATCCTGTGGTGTTAATGCTTATGTTGTTATAATTTTTTCTTTTATTTTTGTTACCTTGAGACTCCTCAGTGCTTTAACGTTATAATTTTTTTTTTTTAACATTATTCTGTACAAAAAAAGGGGGGTGAAGATATAGAAAATTTAGAAAAGGACACTTGTATGCTCCTAATTATGTACTCTTGGGTCCAGCTCTCCACAAGCTTACCTAATTAATGTTTTATATACTTGATACTATATGTAAGAGATACATTTTTAAATGTTACGCCAATTACTCTTGATCATGCCAATTATTACCCAGTGTATGAACTCATTAAAAGCACACCAAAGGTCTAGTAACAGCTATAATAGGCCTTCCCATAAGTTCACCTCTTTTCTGCGTTTCTGTTTAAGACATGGGAAGGAATTTATCAGGCCCCCAAAGAATGCTGTTTTACGGAGCATGATTGTTCCTGACATTGGACTTAATGAATCAGTGAAATAATGACTCCAATTCACTTTTCTTAATTCTCTAACAATTTTCGTTCACGCAAGTTTACTGTATAACCAGTATAACTGGCTCTAATAAGTATATGCCTACTCTAAATGATAAAGAATATAAGCCCAAGGTACAAACAGGTGGCCTAAGTACTTAAGAACTGAGGAGGCCAGGCACAGTGGTTAACCGTCTAATGAATCTACGCACTTTGGGAGGCTGAGGGCCATGGATCACTTGAGGCCAGAAAGTTTGACACCAGGCCCTGAGAAACATAGCGACGAGCCCCCATCCTACAAAAGTTAAACAAAATTAGATAGTCACTGGTGGTGTGCCTGTAGTCCCAGCTATCTGGGAGG